TGTGTTTAAGGTTAGTTTACAATATCGTCCTTGAGGACTTTTGTAAGTTTGTTGTTATAGAATTATATGACTCAGGGTTTTTAGTCGTAATAGTATAAACCATTATGTCTTCTGCCATTTACTTAGCAAATAAATTTTAATGAAATGTTGTGGTCGTCAAATATTTTTATAACGTCTGGGAAACTATATTTTAAGTTCAACGTTTCACCTCCTTTCATAACGTATATCTTGTCAATGACATTATATGAAACACCACAGCAACTAATGTCGGGTTCTATTTCTTTGATGTTTATATCGTCTGCCTCTGTCAAAAGTTTCAATAGTTTCTTTCAAAACTTCATGAGGTGCAATGACATATGAGTTCACTTTTACAGGGTTGTGTTCGACCAAGTTTAACATTATACTTAAAGCTTGACAAATCTTCTCCTGAGTTTGAAGTTTGTCTTTCAGTTGTTGGTAGTCGTTTCGAATATCTGCAACAGAACTTAAGTCTCTGTTAACTTCAGGATATGTTGGTTGTTCTTTTACAGGAACAATTGTTATACCATCTTCGTCTTCGTATGGTTTCCCCACTTCAACATCTCTGTCTTTGACATTGACAATAACACTTTGACTGTTTGTTTGAGTTGGTGAATTTAACTTCACATCTGCCACCGCCATTAAACCTTTTGAAACACTTACGCTTTTATTTTTCGGAAATGACATTTTACTTAGAATAAAAAGATGGACGTATTCGGATATCTCTTTGAATTGAAGCAGAACAAAGTTTATACTCACAAACAATACAAATACATTGACAGAATAGTTCTTTACACAAACAATGGAAAATGTTATAGAATAGCAGTCTTTGCTGAACCTAAATATTTTCATAAAGCAAAGAAAGTTGGTATAACTGAAATGGTGAAAGTTCTTGAAGCAGACAAAAATATAACTTCAAAACTGACCGATATTTCTAAAGGTAAGTTTATAATACAATATTATGTCAAAACTGGCGTACTGTCAATATTTGACGGAGAGAAGTCAGTTCAAGAACAACTTACTGACCTGCTGCCAAAATCTGCTCGATGGAAGCTGTCGTTATGCCAATCTGAGGAGCCCCAGCAGGTTTCATCGAACGAATCTTCAAAAGAGCATCTTCCGTGAAAAGTGCTATTGGTTTTGTAAACTTCTTTGCTCTCAATTCATCTGGACCGTCTCTGTCACCAGTATATTGTATTTGAACTGTACCAACAGTTGAAATACCACCCATAAAGTCTTCTGAGTCAGCAAATGGAATGCCAAGCCAAAAGTTTGAACGGTCTCCATTTGTATATTGAGTTTTTTGACCTCCTGTATGAGTCCATACTTTCACATATGGCATAATAGAACTTTGCATTTCAGGGTTAATGGTTGTTGTGAAGTTGTTGTTAAAGTTCATAGCATCTAATGTCAAGTTGTATGACCTCATATCCTCAACTGTAGAATATTCTTCTCTTGGATAATATTTGCCATCTATGTTTATATGATATTTAATACCAGGGTTGTAGAAACAAGAATAGTCATTTATAGTTCGTCTGAACAGTACAAACATAGTATCTGCATGTTTCATTGCAGTTGTTAAAGCAATATCTGTTCTTGCACCTGGGTCAGCACTTTGGTTTCCAACTTCACCTGCAAAGTCTTTGACAGATATTTGGTGTATAGGGAACATAAGTGGAACTGCAATATATTTGGCAGCTAAAGCATTTGAAATATCTGGGTCCAACATATAGACTGCAAGTCTGCTTTCTATTCTCTTGCATTCAAATTTTTCGCATGTGAACTTAATTGGGTCCCAAGCATCTCCAGCAGCATTGAAATAATAGTTTACTTCAGTGTTGAGGTTTGAGAAACCAAAGTCTAAGTCAACCTTGCCTTTGCAAAATTCGGCGAATGACGTTTTATTTGTTCCCATTACGTCTGTAAGAGTGAATGGGTCTTGTGTTGGTGCAATGACTAAGTTATTTTTGCTTGGAGTAAGTTCGATAGAAATTTTTCCTGCCCAGTTTGGCAAGTATCTTAAAAACCTGAAGATGAGGAAAGATGACAAAGGAACTCTAAGTTTCAGTTTTACTTTGGTTACTGCTGCTGCAGTTTGTCCAGAAAGGTCAACATAAACTCCTGGAACGTTAGGGTCAAGTCTTCTTATTTTCTCAATAGTTGCATACTGGTCTGTTTGTTCTCTAGCTTGTGGTTGTACTGAGTTTCTCAAAGCGAACCATTCATAGTTTGCCCATGTTACTGTTTGAACTAAGTCAGAGTTAGAATATATCTTATATCCCATGAAAACTTCTGGAGCATATTGGTATCCGACATAGAAAATTCCATTGCAACCTTTCTTGTCAGACAACTTGGCAGAAGGTTTTATTTCAATGTCTTGTTCCACGTATAAGAATGAGTTGTCAATAGAAATAATATGAAACCTGTCGCAAGCAATATCTACTGTTGTTGAAGAGCCTTCTCCAAACTCACCTACGTTTCCATAAGAAACAGCAGTTGTATATTCGTAAGTTCCAGGAACTATTTCTGACCTTCTAATGGCATTGTCGCATTCGTTATACCATTCGGAAACATTTCCGTTCATGGCATCCAAAACTGTTGGCGTTATATTCTGAGCGGCGTACATTTCATATGGGTAAAAATATAGAATAGTTGGATTTATGTGTCATAATTGTTTCGTACCAAGCTTTACTTTCTTCCTGACTGAGTTTTTAACTCTTCTTTTTCCTTCATTGCCACTACTTTCACTAGATGAAGTTACTTCTTCACTACTTTCACTTTGTTCTACTCTTCTTCTTTGGTGTCGCTTTTGGTAACTTGCCCTCTGCTTCAAGTTGTTGCATCTTTGCCTCATGTTCACCTAGTATGTTGTAAATTTCCCATGTCCTTTTTGCCTTTGGGCTCTGGTCGCCCATCTCAGGTAACCTATATCCTAGAAAGATTTTGTCATAGTTTGTATTTGAGTCTTCGCGTATTGTTTGCATGACTCTTTCCTGAGTTTCCGGTTCAAGCTCTTCAAACAGAGCTTGTCCATATGGAATAAGCTCGTTTCCAAATATATGTTTTTGTAGCCATTCTGGTTTTCTTTCCATGTTACCAATAATATCTTTTGTGAATGGGAAAGCTTTTACCCAATGTTTCAGTCTTGCGTCATTTATTTCTGTAGTTGGTTTTATTTTGTCAAGGAACGTGTTTTTCAATACTAACATTTCATTTGGTACTGTCCATTTGAGTTTTCTTAAATATTCACCTTCTCGGTTCATTGTCTGCAAAGTAAGTTTTTATGACATTTTGCAAACTTTCGTTTGCAAGGTCATGTACAATAGGTTCTCTTCCTTCTCTCTCCCTAACTTTCTTTCTAAACTCTTCACCAAATATACCATCTCTATGGTTCTGTGTAGTTCTTTGAGATAAATGTTCTAGAACGTCAGGTGTTATATTTCCATCAGCCATGTTCATTTCATACTGGTCCAAAATATCTGCATGTTTCATATCTTTCAATGGCATTAAAGCCGCGCTGAAAATACCGGCTATATCTGGTTCACCATTCACTTCCATTGCGTCTACAACTTCTTGGAATTGTGGTTGTAAGTTTATGAACCACCTATCCGGATTAGCTTTATGACCCCATCTCATTGTAGTTCCATAGTCTGCAGAAACAAAAAGTAGGTTTGTTTCCATATTGGTTAGGTTCTGAATGAACTTTAAACAATGTTTCATTTCTATATGTTTTGTTGAAATTTAACCTTTTATTTTCACCGAGTTCAGCCAAAGATTGAACGTTATATGGTCGTAAGTAAAAAGGATTATTGTATTTGCGTACATTTTCTTTCAGTACTTCCATTCTATGCTGAATATTTTCATCTGATGTTGGAGTCTTTTGTATGTCGGCGAACATTTTTCGATATTCTTCTACTATGTCAGCCGAATTTTTCTTAGACTCTTGGAAAGATTCCATATTCACCTCATACTCTTGTTGAGGGTCAAGATTTTTCGGCTGTTCCAAATCTTCATCTAGTTCTGTGAAGTTAGTTTCCAAAGGAGGGACTTGTTCGTTTCCTTCAGGCTCTTCTAGCTGTTGTTGCTGAACTATTTCTTCCATGTCTGGTTGTATCTGAACTTCTTCCTGTGGAGTTTCTTGTACCTCATCTGCTGGCATTTCATATATTCCGAGACCGTTTTTAACAAGTTCCCTATCTAAGTCATCCGGACTCATAAACCTTTCTTCTTTCGTTCCGTCTCTATTTTTTACGCGTTTCATGAAGAGAGTTGAATTATCATTTAGCTCTGACACCAAATATCTCGGAGTAAATTCATTCATGTCATTTGGATGATATGCTATTAAATCATATCCCTTAGCGAGCTTGTATTTTCCAGGTTTAAGATTATATCCCATTTGGTGCTGAACCATAAAGCTAAATAGGTTCGGGTCAGTATTTCCTTCCTTGAACTTTCTAATAGCTTCTTTATATCTGTCACTAAAGTCAAGAGTATCTGGGTAACCATAATCATCCTTAAGCATTTTTAAGAATTCTTGGTTTCCTTTTTCTCTACTTCTTTTATGTCCTTGCTCTGTTTGTGGTTGTTGTTGTGCAGGGTTTTGAACTGTTGGTTGCTGTGCTGGTTGTGGAGATGGTTGCTGTGCTGGTTGTGGAGGTGGTTGTTGTGCTGGTTTTGGTTGCTGTGCAGGGTTTTGAACTGTTGGTTGCTGTGCAGGGTTTTGAACTGTTGGTTTTAGTTGTTGTTGTTGTGCTGGATTTTGAACTGTTGGTTGTTGTGTTGGTTTTGGTGCATGCCTGTGTCTGTGTCCATGTGACGATGTAAATGTTTTAGGTAGTCCGGGTGCAGGTGCTTCTCTTGGAGGGTTTGGTGGTATATAAGTTCCACCAGCTGGCACATATGTTCCATCTGCAGCATAATGTCCTACCTGACTTTTCGTTTTTAAGAAAGCATTTACTAGGTCTGTTTTGGTCTGTTGTAACTCTTTTTCTTGACTTTCCACAACAGTTGCTCTAACGGCGTCATAGGCACTTTGAACTGCCTGTCTCGTTGCTGCATCTGTTATTTTCGTCATATTTTGTGCTACTTCTCTTAACTCTTTGTCGAAACCTTCAGACTTCAGTTTCTTTCCAGATGAGAAGTCGTTCACTAGTTTCACCTTACTATGAAGAGCTTCGAAGGCGTTCTTAAAGTCAGCATTCATTAAAGCTTCATTTGAACTGTCTTCATCCGCTTGTATTTTTGTCCTTATTGACCCTATAAGTTGGGCTGCTTTAGCGTTGGCTTGGGCATCTAACCAGTCATTATTAGCTTTTATATATTCTGCGCTTTTCATTGCCTTTTGCATGGCTGCGTCGTTATTTTTACTTTCTTGTGCTAAGTTTTCATACTGTACGGTTTGGTTTTGCAACTGTAAAAGTTTTTCTGCCTTTACATTTGCTTCAACTTCTTTTTTATACTCATCGCTATCCATATATGTCTTCAGGGCTTTTTGTTTTATTTCTTCATCTTTCAGTACTTTATATTGAGTAGTATGGTTTTTCAAATTTATAACATCTTGTTCCATTTTTGCTACTTCTGCTGCTTTTTCTGACACTTTTTTCGCATATTCCTCTGTACTTAGTTCTTTCAGTTGTTCTTCTTTCTTCTTTTTCTCTACGTTTAACTCATTGAGTTTCTTTGTGTGTCTGTCATATTCTAGTTTCTTTTCGTTTTCACTTATTTGTTTCTGTATGTCTATGTTTGACTTTTTGACATCTGTTATTTGATTTTTGAGTGAACTCAAATTCATTTGACTTTGAGGGTTATAAGCTGTTCCGTCTGCAGCTCCACCATAGCCTGCCATTTTCGCTAAAAGTGCCGCTCTTAAACCTCCACTCTGTGCACCAATAACTCGGTTTAAAAGCATAGGGTTGCTTGACATTTGTTGCAACATAGTGGGGTCATTCATCATTTGTTGTTGCAACTGTTGTTGTGGTGTCAGTTTTACTATTGGATGTTTCAATGCTCCCTTCCTCTTACGTATATTCTTACGTAGCTTACGTGGCATTTTAAGTGAAGTTAAAAAGCGGTTTTTGTAGTTTAAAACATGCGGCTGTCACTTTTTTGTTTGCATATCTCTTATATAGTGAAAAACGGTTTTGTCACTTTTAAAAAACGGAGTTGTCTGTCACTTTTTAAAAACGGTTTTGGTTTTTATCACCGGCTGGTCGGCTGGGGTTCGGTCCTCCTCTTGGGTCTTGGGCAAAATTCTTAGGGCTAGAAGGGGCGCAGCCCCTGGAAGCCCTCCAAATATAAACTTCATTTATACTAAACATCTTCAGGGCTAGAAGGGGCGCAGCCCCTGGAAGCCCCTCATACCTGACCTTATTTTTACCATATTTATAACAAATCCTGATAATTATATTGATATTTTCATATTTTTACAAAATTGCGCAATAATTTAATGTGCGAAGTGATTTTCATTTTTTAAACTATATTTTGAAAAACATACTTATCATTGTGAGCTGTTCATTATATGTATTTTTGATAAATTTCCCAATAATAAGTAAGTTTTAGTTTATATATCTCTTTTAACTCATATTTTGGTAGAAAAACAAAGTGAATTTGATGATTCATTGAGGTACCTCCATTATTTTTTGATATAAAAGAGTTGAAATTGCAATTTGTTAGAAAAAAATAAATGATAAAGGAAGAATATTTTATATAATAATGATGAGGAGTTAAGAATCAGATTTACTCCTTGTACTTGCCTTGGGCTTTGAGTTTCTCGATTGTCTTCTCGGAGAGTTCACCACCACCCCACTGGTGCATCTCTTCCTTGTAGTGAGCAAGGAATCCAGAGTTGACGGAGTCAACAATCTTTGTGAAGGCAGCGCGGTCTTCTGGCTTGACTTCAGCGAGAGCGACGCATGAGCATGTCTTCATGCCGACAATCTGGCCAAGGCGTGACTTGCTCTTGACAATGCAGTATGGGATTTCGAGGTTGCGGCAAAGAGCTGGCATCCAGATGACAAGTTCGATTGGATCAACATCGTGAGCAATGATGACAAGTTGTGCCTTCTTGGATTCGATGGCTGCTGTGACATTCTTAACACCTTGGACGAGAGCTTTCTTGTTGCCTGAGCCTGCAACCTTGAGGTCCTTCTTAGCCTTCTCGGCATCATCCTTGTTGCGCTGCTTCTTCTCTGTCTTTGTCTCTGGGCGGTACTTCTCGAGGAACTTGAAGAGAGCGACTGCAGCATCCTTGCCAAGTGTGTGGTTGAAGTGGTTGACTGGTGGTGGAACTTTAAGGCGCTTCATGAGGATTCTCTTTTGGCGCTGAAGCTGGACGTACTTTGGGAAACGTGTCTGAGTTGTCTTATCAGCAACCTTTTCGGCTGTTTCTTCAGCGAAAAGGTGTTCCTGGCGGATGATATCCTTATCTTCGATGACTTTCTCTGGGGCTGAGCGTGTTGCCTTTGGAGCCATTGTAAAAAGGAGAAACCATGATGAAGGACGATAAAAAAACACCTAGCCAAAACCGTCGAAATTGAATTCCAATTCCCAATAACATTAGATCTGAACTACTCACAATACATAAATAATCTTTTCTCATACAATATTTGGAAAATATCAAAGATCAAAAACATCGAAATCTAAATTATGAAATATCTCTTATTAACAAATAATTAGATCTACCTAAATATTTGTTTCTTAAGGTTTGCATTGTATTATTCACTAAAATTGAAATTCATATTTTTGCTTTCTAGGATTAAAGGCAATAGCATCTGATACAACTGTTTGAAAAGTTAATATTGGAAGAATTATCGTTATGAGATCATTATTTCTAATCATATTAATGGAAATATTCAGTGATTTAATAGATCAGATAGTTTTTTTCCAAATGTATTATTCCAAATTTACTTTAAAAACTTTGATTTTATTATTAAAACTTTTTTTGAATATAGATGATGCTAATATTTTTTTTAAAGGCCGAGCCATTTCTTAACGAGGGAGATAACCATCTGCCTTGTTCTCTTGACATCGGCTGGGTCGTTGTTACTTGGAAGGTGGTAGTCTGTGCAGTGTCCGACGTTTGGTCCTGTCATTGTGTGGGCTGCAGCATTTTCGTTTGGAACCTTTTCGTCGGTGATGCAGACTGGTGTCCATGGATCCTGAGAACCAGTCAAGTAAACGATGTTTGTAGCGGTCTGATCTAATCCGCCCCATTTTGCGTTGAAAGCGTCTGTATCTGGTTCATCTGTAAGTCCGAAAACGTCGTTGCACTGTTTAGCGAATGTTTCTGTTGTTAAAAGTGGAGAACGGAGAGAAGTCTTTCCAGCACCGACTTGCCACCATCCGAGCTGAGAGCAGGTCTGCCAGAGCCAGCTGCGAGCAGCCTTGTTCTTTGTATCCTTGAGGGATGCTGTAGAATATTCGTTTGCGATTGTGGATTTGCCGATGAAATTCGGAATGAAGAAGTTGTTGTTGAATTCGGCAAGAACGAGCATTGGATCCTTGCCTGTGATAAGAGAACCTTCCATTGGACCGCAAAGGGCTTCACGATGGCCGTATTGTGGGGCGATAGAGAATAATTCGCCAACAACGAAACGGAAGATATCTGGTTCAACACCATTGGCGTTGAAGAGGTTGAGAACGTACTGTGTGCCTTCTTCTGTCTCAAGAAGAGTATCAATGTGGCGACGAGCTGTTCTGCAAGCAGCAGCGCACTGGTGACCAAGGGAGATTTCGATCTGCTTGTCGAAGTCTGTGAATTCCTTCTGAGCTAAGACAACACCTGAGGATGAAATGGCACCTGCAAATTTAGAATCGAATTTGCTCTTTGTGTATGCGGATAAGAGGCCCGGATATGAGCCACCATAAAGAAGCCATTTGTTCTTATCCGCTTTGTATGTCTTCTTGTAATAATCGACGAAATATGAAATATCTTCAACAGCTTGTTCGACGGAGAGATATTGGAGATTTTCTGTTGTTGATTCTTCGAATGGATATGATTCGCCATAGAAACGGTGCTGAAGTGTGACAACTGTGCAGTTAAATTCTTTTGCAAGTGTTTCTTCGAAATCGCCAACACCACCAACATAGTAGCCATCGCTTTCACCACTGATTTCAAGGATGATTGGAGAATCTGGGCCGCCGTATTGGTTGTTGATAACAAATTTTTGTTTGAATGTTCCTGTTTCTGAATGATTGTGATCGATTAATTGATCAAATGTGGCATTAGTCTCAGTACCCCTCAATTGTTGACGTGTGATGGGTCTTCTGATAGCAAGAATAAGTGGAAGCATATTTTTACCCTAACAGCTGCTCTCAATATTTCAGAACAAAATAATCGTTCTTCAATTGCATGGCTATTGTGTTAGATTTTATTGGATTTATAATCTCTTATAGCTAGAAATTAAATATTTGAAGTTTTTACTTCAACTTAAGCAATATTATCTTGTGATGAAGGCTTTCTGCATAATGCAATAAATGTGTTGCAAGTTTCGACGTAATGTGATCTCATTCTTTATATGAGCGATGAAAGTATTTCTCATGCAAATTGGAAATTTGATAAAAATACCTGATTTGACTTTCTAACATGAGTTCTTTTGCTTTATTACACAAAGATTTAATTTCTATACTTTGCATTATAAGTTATTTCATTTTGTTTTTCTGATCAATAAGTTCACCGATGCAAAGTCAATATCTCGAATTGATGGATGTGAATAAGGATTTTGTTGAAACTTTCGCTCAACTATATCAACTTAATACAAGAAACGAAGAAGAAATTAATAATATTTATCATATTCTAAAAGTTAATTTGATTGATAAAAAGATAATATTACCACAATTACTTATGAAACAAATATGCCATATTATGACCTTTCGAAATCGATTTTGGAAGTCATATAAAGCAATTTTCAAAAAGATTGAAGAAGAATACAATATCAAACAATTAACAGATCATGATAGTATTTTCGAATATTCGGTTGATGATAAAATCAAAGAAATATTTCACAATTTGCAAAATGACAATTATTCTTTTGATGAATTAGAAAAAAACACAATTTTCGAGGCTATAATGCATGATGATATAGAATCATTTATTGCTTTCACAGAAAAACCATGCTTTGATAAAAATCAAGGCCTCAGAAATATTTTGTATCCAGAACAATGGAAATATCATTCATTAATTGAATTGTGTTGTTATTATGGTTCTGTCAATTGTTTTAAGTTTTTAAGAACAAAATTTAACCCAAAAATCACAGGATATTGCCTCCATTATTCTTTTTTGAGTGGAATTCCAGACATCGTCAGTGAATGTTTGAAAGAGCAAAGACCTGATCAAAGCTGCATGGAATATGCGATTATGTCTCATAATATTGACTTTGTTTCTTTTTTAATGAATGAACATCAATTAGAGATCAATTTAGATCAATGCTGGCGACATAATAATCTTCAAGCATTTCTTGTTTATTTAGATAATACTAACAATGTTGATAAATGCATTATTTATTGTCCACATTTTCAACTTCCTTCATTATGTGAATATTTAATTTCACATGGTGCAAATGTCAATGCATGGGATAATAATGGAAAAACTGTTCTTCATCATACAGCAATAGCAAATAGCAAAGAAATTGCAGAGATGTTGATATCGCATGGAGCTCAAATCAATATAAAAGATAATGGACGTATGTCTACACCGTTGCATTATGCAGCATTATATAATAGTACAGAAGTTGCAGAAGTTTTGATTTCACATGGAGCCGACATTAAAGCAAGAAATAATGAAAGAAAGACTCCACTTCATGTTGCAACTGTTAAAAATTGTTTAGATATGATCAAATGTTTAGTATCACACTGTGCAGAAGTCAATGCAAAAGATACATATGGAAAAACACCTCTTCATTTTGCTGTAAACAATAATAGAAAAGATATTGCTGAGTTTTTATTGTCACATGGAGCAGAGATCAATGCAAGGGATAATGATGGAAAAGATTCAATTCATATTGCAGCAGAAAATGAATCAGTTGAAATGCTAGAATATTTTATTTCATGTCACGTTGATATCAACAAGGTTGATTACCAGGGACAATCAATTCTCCATTATGCCGTATTGAAAAATAATAAAAGAATTGTAGAATTCATTCTTTCATATGGAATTAATGTAAATATTCAAGATCATCATAAGAAAAGTCCTTTAGTAATTGTTGCCCAACTTGACAATTATGAAATAGCAGAAATTTTAATTGCCCATGACGCTGATGTTAACTTGAAAGACGAATATTTACAAACTGCCTTACATTATGCAGCAGAATATGGCAGCGTGAAAATGACAGAGCTTCTTATATCTCATGGAATAGATATCAATGGAAAAGATTTGAAAGGCTGGACTGCTTTACATCATGCAGTGTTGAGAAATAGAATTGAAATAGTCAATATTCTTATTTTACACGGAATAGATATCAATGCAGAAGATGCTAACGGATGGACAGCTTTTCATCTTGCAATATCAAGGAATAAAATTGAAATTGTTAAAATCCTCATTTCATATGGTATTGATATAAATCACAAAACACGTGCCAGTAAAACACCTCTTAGTATTGCAAAAGAGAAACAATACAATAAGATTATTGAACTTCTAACTGCACGAGGCGCTACAACGTGTAATATTTGAGTTATCTTAGTTCTATGGAATAGATTTTTTATTTAGTATTATTATTTGTTATTCTTATTAGATGGAACATGCCAATCACATTCAATAAAATCTCAGATCCAGTCACTGTTTTAAGCAAAAGATTACGTGATTTCCCTGTACTTACACAAGGATCAATTCTTCCTATAGATTTCGCTAAGCGCATCTACAAACTCAGAGTTCTCAAAACAGAACCTTCTGATGGAATTTTAATCAATAATGTCAACTTGAACACAGAATTCGCACCACCAGATACATATTTCAAGCACAGATGACTCGAACCAGATACTGATTCCGATCAATTCCAATTCGTGGCATGGAAATTACCTATAATCCATCATTAGCTGATCTTGAAAGAGAGCGCAATCAACCTGGCTACGTTCCAAGTGTTTTAATCTTCAAAGATGGTCGAAATAGGAAAGGCTAAATACAAGGCCCAAGAAGAAAACATTTTCGTTGGCCAAGGCTGTAGAATCGGAAAATGTTTTCTTCTTGAGAGAGTCTTTGAAGACTTTCATTTTCAATCAAATACTGATTGAAGACTTAGTTTCTCATCTGAAGTACTTGTACAGATTTTGCATCACAAGGTAATGATAAAGGAATGAGTTTGAACAACAAAAAGTGCTTATAGTTTACTAAATATTTTTTCAATATAAAATAATTTTATTGGAAAAAGAATTATTAGATATTTGTAGCACCATGTTCAACTAAGAAAGTGATAATATTAGTTGCTTCAATTTTGGTGGCAATACTAAGAGGACATTCATTAATATCAAAAGGATTTCATAAAACAATGATAAATATGAAAAGAAAGATAATGTGATAAAACAATGTTGAATATGAAAAGAAAGAGAATGAAATAAAACAATGATAAATATGAAAAGAAAGAGAAATTTATAAAACAATGTTGAATATGAAAAGAAAGATAATGAAATAAAACAATGATAAATATGAAAATAAAGATAATGAAATAAAACAATGATAAATATGAAAAGAAAGATAATGTCATAAAACAATGATAAATATGAAAATAGAGATAATGTAATAAAAAAAGATGAATATGAAAAGAAAGATAATGCCATAAAACAATTTTAAACATGAAAAGAAAAAGAATAAGTTCCATGTTAACATCTGCACCATTCTCAACTAGGAATTGGACAATTTCTGTTAATTTTGCTTTTATTGCAATAGTAAGAGGGCATTCATTAATATCGAAAGAATGTAATAAAACGATGATAAATATGAAAAGAAAGATAATGAAATAAAACAATGATAAATATGAAAAGAAAGAAAATGTCACAAAACAATGTTGAATATGAAAAGAAAGAAAATGTCATAAAATAATGTTGAATATGAAAAGAAAGATAATGAAATAAAACAATGATAAATATGAAAAGAAAGAAAATGTCACAAAACAATGTTGAATATGAAAAGAAAGAAAATGTCATAAAATAATGTTGAATATGAAAAGAAAGATAATGAAATAAAACAATGATAAATATGAAAAGAAAGATAATGCCATAAAACAATTTTAAATATGAAAAGAAAGAGAATAAGTTTCATGTTAACATCTGCACCATTCTCAACTAGGAATTGGACAATTTCTTTTGAATTCGCATTGATTGCAATAGTAAGAGGGCATTCATTAATATCAAAAGAATATCATAAAACAATGTTGAATATTAAAAGAAAGAAAATGCCATAAAACAATGATAAGTATGAAAAGAATGAAAATATCATAAAACAATGTTGAATATGAAAAGAAAGAGAATGATATAAAACAATGATAAATATGATTAGAAATAGATCATAAACTTTGTTGATATCTTCTCCATTAGAAAGTAAATAAGATGCAACATCATAGTTTCCGAAATACATACTTTCTGCTATTGAATCAGGAGTTTGTCCAAAATTTGATTTAAGGTACTCAGCAATTTCATAGTGTCGATAATCCAATGCTGTATTAATCATTTTTGTAAATGATTTACCATCTTCAATCATTTGCATAATAATGTTAATATTTCCGCCTTGAATAGCATATGATTCGGAGTTTTTAGTGTATTGAGCTCCTAAATTTTTCAAGTAATTAAAACACAATTCTGATCCATTTTTAATTGCACAATCCAGTGGTGTGATTTTTTTGATCTCCTCATTATTATCTAGATTTGGGAATTTACTCTTAAGATCATCAACTTTATCTCATGCAATATAGTATAAAGGAGAGTTTGTTGAGTATAAATTCAGAATTTCTCCTTCTTCTATTTCAGGTTTGAAGTTTTCAAATTTGAAACCTTGATAATGAAGAAGCGTCGCTAATCTATTATTTTTCGGCTTATGTATGTATGAAAATGCGTTTGATACCTTTTGATAAAGTTCTGAAAATAATTTAATTTCTTTATCACGAATTTGTGAAAAAACATCAATCAAATGAAGCGCCATTTGGATAGTTATTTTGTTGGTTGTTATTAATTCGATAATTTGTGAAGATAATTGTATATTATTATTGGAATTGACGCCCCAAATCATTTTTGATGCTTGATCTGGGTATTCGAATACTTTATTTGGCTTAAGGTCACAGTAATTACTCCAATTTTCATTTTTTGGCTGCCCTGAACTTGTCATGCTTTTTAAAAAATTTGGCTTTCTTACTTTTTGTCTTAAAAATCTGAGTTAAAAAGAAAGAATTTTGCATTACCGATGTTTCCGAGCAACGATTCTACATGAAGGCTTATAAAATTGAAGAAGAATGTTCAACAATTGACAATTGAATTTAATATGGATTACTATGAGATTTATGCCTTTGGTGAAGCTTGCAGTTAATTTAATATTGAATTATACAATATGAAGTTTCCTTGTGCGTTATGAATTCATTCACATGCTAACATTTTGGCATAATCTTAATTTGCTATTTTTTTCTTATTTAAAACCAACTATGTCGCAGAATAACTATTTTATCAACACACTAAATTTGGATTAGGATAAATAGAGAAGGCTCCAAATCAAACTGTCCGACGTATTTTTAGGCTAAAAATTGCGGCTAAGTATGAAATATTGACAAACTTCAAATATATAATTGACGGGAAGAAAAGAGTTTTAAAGGAAACGTTTCAAAACACGATAAAGTTAAGGAATGCTGCTCTCTATTATGACATTGATAAGTTGGTCATGACCACTAGGGTCCCATGCAAACCATCAACTATCCCCAGCTTATATTTTTATTTGATAACTTGTAATATTTCTGTTTTGCTAATACGAACACTGATAGGGATATTTGTTTGCCCAATGTTAATACTTCCTCCCAAATATGTTATTGTTAGAACTTTCTATTTTCTGGGCATGCAATTCAATGATTCTCAAATTTTGAGTTCATACAACGGAGTTCCAAAGAAAAACTGTATGATCATTGTTACCTCTATTAAAGCCTTTTTAATTGATTCGTTAAGTAATAGAACATGCTCGCAAGATGCTATACATGAAGTAGAAGAACTTATTGCAAATTTGTATAAAAATCCCCGATTTAAAAGATTCTTATTTTTCCAAATAGCATGATAACAATTGCTATGTTCTTTCCCTTGAGAAAATCATCAGAATATTCACAATATAATATATTTCATGAAAGTGAAACTAGAAAGTTGGGATTTAGTGCCTCAAATACAGGAAATACGTATACATATATAAATATCAAAAGATATTATATCATATGACAATTCTCTAGGGATTTAGCAACAATTCGCGATTTAATTGACTAAAACATTCTTTAAAATTGTTTGCTTAGTTTATTTGTCGCTAAGATGTTCACCAATTTCAATATTTGAAAATGACTTCTCTGATTAGGCGTTTGTTTTCTTGGATCTCAGCCGAACCAGAGGAGCTCAAAATATCTCCACCTCCTCCACCAATGGTGCTGGTAGTTCCGAGAGATGATTTATATCCAAAACAAAAGCCAAAAATTGTTGAAAAAACTTATGCTGAAGTCCAAACAGATTCCAGTATTAAATCTCAGGTTACTCGAGAAATTGAAACAGAACCAGTTAACTTTGATATCAGAAAATTCGATAAATCTTTCGATAAATCACAATTCGAAAACAAACAGCCTGAATTCCTTAAACCTAAGTCATTTATCACAGAAAATCAATTCACACCGAATAAATACGGCTTTCAAACTGATTCATCTCAACAATCAAGAGTTACAGTTAAAATTCCAGAAATATCGCGACCAATTTACTCTCAAATGTCTAGTTCCAAACCGCAATTTGTATTTAACGAGGAATCAGAGATCAATGCTCCGCCACAAGAAATTTCCGAAGAAAAATCTCCTCAAATGTCATCAAGTTCTTCAATTAACTTCGAATTTTACAGAGAAGAAGAGGACAGACATCCAACAACCTCTGAATCTTCACAGTCATCCCAAGATTCCCAATCAGAAAAATCTAATTCATCAAATTCTTCATCTATACAATCTCCTGTTCACGTATCAGCTCATGAAAGCGAACAGCATAAAGCCGGCAGCAGCCATGACTCAGAATCTCTTAATAATCATCAATTTGAAAGTTTCTTTCCATTTAATTACGAAGACAACAGTCTTCATAGTCTCGTTGATGCTGCCAATCTTGATCTTCTCGGAGTACCATCAAATCCTTACAATTTCGCGTTCAGTCCTCAAGCAAATTCAATTCCACATCTTCAGCCAATGCAAACACAAGAAAACGTATACACTGTAAGTTCTTCATCGAGTCCTCATGAAGAAGAATCTAAAAACGACTCAGAATCCAAAAAATCAAATTCTGATTCCGAAAAAGAGTCAGAAAAGAAGGAAACAGACTCACAAGGGGAATACTACTCCTACACAGAAGAGGAAGAGACCGAATCTGAGAAAGAAAAACCACCTCAACCTCTCAAAACTAAATATAGTTCCCAAAAGTACCAAGAAGACATCGACGAAGAAGAAATCGAGAGGCAGAACAAGAAGTCTCGCGAGGAAGAAGAGGAAGAAGAGGATTATTACGAAAATGCCGAAGAAGAAGAAAATAATTCTGCAGAAGAGGAAGAAAGACGTCCTAAAGTAGCTCTTAAACGTGCTCTTACACCTCCTATGATACTTCATCAACAATCTAAACAAAGTTATGAGGAAGGTTACGAAGAAGAAGAGGAAGAAGAGGAAGAGGAAGAAAGCGATAGAAAGCATGTGGCCTATAAAGCTAATTACGGTCGAAAGTCAATGTTTACACCAGCTATGAGGAATAAATACCAAAATGTAAAGTCAGAATCCGAAAAAAGTGACAACGATGAAGGAAGTGACTACACATCACATGGGGCCAAATCTAATGTAGCCATGAAAAGAGTTATGAATGGAACACATTCTGACGAAAATGAAGAAGAAACTGAGGAAGAAGAAAATAATTCGGAAATTGAAGAGGAAGAAAGCAAAGAAGAAGAGGAAACAGAGAAACAGGAGTTAGAAGAACCCATAAAGAGACGTCCTTATGCTTCAAAGAGCGAAGTAATGAGTTATCTGACTAATGACCACAGTTTGAGCTCAACTCATACAGATAATGAAGGAAATAAGGGTGAAGTGGTCGAATCTACTCAAATTCCACAAGCTCCGGCAAAATTTGTTTTCCCAACCCTTCCAACTCAGCCAAATCCACCTATGTTCACTATAAACACATTCAACTTCGGCAGAAAACCAAATCGAGAAGAGAATCATAATGAAAATGACGCAATTAAATTAATTTATGATATTCCTCATTCAGGTGAAGAAAATAAGCACGAAATAGTTGTTCCACATCATGAAGAAGAGGATAATGAATCAGAATCTAACAAAGAAACAGAAAATGAGGAAGAAGAAAAACATATTGAAATTTCCGACCACGAAGAAGAGGAAACAAAACATGAGGATGAAATTTCTGAGACCAAAGATGAGAAAGAGAATGAAACCAATTCAGAAACAGAAAATCAAGAAAAATCAGAAAATGAAGAAGAAGAAACAAAACAAGAAAGCGAAGAACTAACTCATGAAGAGGACAAAGAAGAAAACAGTGATTCAGAATCCGAAAAAGAAAATAATGTTGAAAATATTCATCAGGAAGAAGAATCAAAGCAAGAAACCACTGTTTCTGACCATAGTAACTCTATTAATGATACAAACAACTCCGAAATTCATCAAAATGAAGATGAAATTGAAAATCACGAAGAAGAGGAAGAAAATGAGCCAAAACAACAAAACACTGGTTCAAATCATAACGAAGAAGAAGAGGAAAACAATGAAGAAAACGAAAAAGAAGAAAATCTTCAGATATCTCATTCTGAAGAAGAAGAAACTCAAAAAGAAGTTAATAAATCCACTGAAAATGAACATTCTGATCATGAAAATGGTCAAAACGAAGAAGAAGAAAGAAATGAAGAAAATATTTCGGAAAACAAGGAAAAATCAATTGAAGAATCCGAAAACAATCAAGAGAATGAAGAGATAAATCATCAAAACGAAGAAACTCCAACAAAAATCGAAATTCCTCACTTAGAAAACCAAATTTCAGAAGAAAACAAGCAAACAACTGATACAGAGCACAGTGATGAACCACAACTTTTAGAAGAAGCACAAAATGAAGCTGAAAATCACCCAATTTCAGATATGTTCCAAAATATTCAGGAAATTGATCAAATCCAACATAATGATGATCAAAACCATGAACAAGAAGCTGCAAAACAAGAAGAAAACCATAATAACATAGAAATTGAACAAATTTCAATTCCAATTTCGAAATTACCACTTGAAAATGAACAAAATGTTGAAGAATTACCACAACAGCACGATGAAGAACCAATTGATCATGAAAATGATCAGATCCAAGGAATTTTCACCGATCACCACTCAGAAAACGAAGAAAATTCACTTAAACCAAGTGAAATTCCACAAACCATTATAAACATTCCGGAATACAATGAAAATATGTCTTCTTTATCAGAAAACAAGTCAAATAACGAAGAAACTTCTTCAACTCAACAAATATCGATTCCGAACGACCATCATGACTTGTTTGACTTTGCTATTTACTTGGATCCAATCAATTCCACGTTAGCTTTGCCAGAACAACCAAAATCAGTTGAAATTTCTCATGATTCAACAAAAGAAGACAATAAAGAGGGTGAAAAAGAAGAAATCACGATTTCTCTTGGTAATTCAAATGAAGGATCCGAAAATGAACAAATTCACAAAGAAAATGAAAAAAATTCCAACGGATTCGAATGAAAATCACGAAGAAAAGCAACAAAATGTATCTGAAAACGAAGAAGACACAATTCATCACGAAGAAATTGATGAAAACGAAAATATTTTCAATGAAAAAGTTCAAAATCAAGAACAAGAAGCTACAAGTCATGAAAGTAACTGATAACAATGATTTCTTCTATTAACTACAAAGAACAGTTTTAATTCGTAATTTTTTCTGAATTTCTTGAATATGTAACTGTAATAACTCGACTAATAGCAACATGTATGATACAATTATACGACTAATATATATTATTTGTTATTTTGTTTTTATATATTTAATAAACTTTTGTTTATCTTAATTTAATGACCAACTGTAAACTGTGCATGTAATATGTTAATGTTCTATCATTTATAAGAACTTATTGTTTCATAATCTAATTGAATTGTGCAAAATCTACTAATATCCATTGTCAATAACTACGGAATGAGTTGTATTTTTTGTAGTCGTAGTTTATCGACATTGTTTTTGTTATGAAAATTTAGACACAAAAATTTTATTCTCAAAATTTTCAGAAAAACTGACAAAATTTCTGGTGAGTTTGATAGGCTAAGAAAATTTTCTTTACGATTTTTTTTTAGAAAGGGTAAAAAATTTCACATTTTTAAAACATGGTTTCACGTTGTAAGTATCAAAGCTCGTCCGAAGTCGGCGCATATGCAACATTAACAGACACCTATTGCTTACTTCCCACCACAACGACAAAATCATGGACAGAAACTTTTGATGTTTTGACAGATTTCAACAACACAACATTAGTCATGTCTAATATCGCAGGTACACCAATTGTCGGCAGATTGACTGTTGGCAACAAGAATGGTTTACTTGTTCCGTTAACAACAACAGATTCAGAATTAGCTCAAATTGAGCAATCCCTTCCAGACGGAGTTGTCGTTGAAAGAATTGAAGAGAAGTTTTCTGCTTTAGGCAACGTCATTTCATGCAATGACCATATAGCTTTAATCCACCCAGAACTCGACCAAGAAACAGTCGAAATTATCAAAGACGTTTTACAAGTTGATGTCTTCCCAACATTGATTGCTAACGAGTCCTTGGTCGGTTCATACTCAGTTTTCACAAATAGAGGCGGAATTGTTACGCCAAAGGCAACAGTTGAAGAAATTGAGGAGCTTTCTGGTCAATTAGGCATTAATATCGAAGCTGCTACGGTTAATAGAGGAAGTGGCTTAGTTAATGCAGGAATTTTAGTTAATAACAGCCGCCTTTTCTGCGGTTGGGAAACAACAGCTCTTGAAATCGCAAACTTAACAAGAATCTTCAAGATCGATGATAATACAATGAAGACTGAAGAAAATGGAACTGTTGACGATGTAGATATCCTCGCTTTAATAGACTTGTATTTATCTAAAAACTTATACTATTATATCGTACAAACATACCCATTCCTATTTTCATTGAACTCTTATTTCATATTTGAGAAGATTAACGATAAAAATCTCTATTGACCGTGCATTTCGAATATATACCAAAATTTTATCATATTTCGCGCTTCAAAATGGTTGACTTAGCAAAATTGTCATTAATTTTTCTTCATTTTCTGCCTCATTTTCCAAAACAAAGGTACATTTACTAGGCGATAACAGTAAAATGGGATGAAAATAGGATAAATAGCATCCCTATATAGTGCCTAACAATATTTATACGGGCAAAAAAAATTTGGCTAGAGATTTGGCTAGTTAGAAAATTTAGAAAATTGAGAAGAATTTTTATTTTCGAATTTTTTGGAAAGTTAAAATTGTGATTAAAAATCGTTTTCCGGGAGAACTAAGCATCTTATCATATATTTAAATCGATAAAAATATTAAATAATAGTTGAATAGTATAAATACATGAAATTATGGCTGAATATACAGAAAAAATGAACATATTTGACATTTTTGAAAATTCATACATTAGTTGGTGACAGACTCATAAACTATACTTTAGCTAAGATTGATATATGATTTCAACAACACATGGTTAAAATCGTAAAATTTTTTTAGATTTCAAAAAGATATATATGGTAATATAATGGAACAGAGTCAGCAAATAGCATGTAAAATATGTTACAATTAACTTTTTATTATATCCAATAGTAGATATCGAATAGTTTCCAGCTTTATGGTTAAATATTTTCTTATCGAGCTTCTCTTTAACTGTTGTATTAAGGTTGTAAATTTTTGATGCTAGAAACTTTGGAATCTTCTTTGCTGCTGCATTTTTTCTTGAGAGTTCTTGCAATTTCGAATAGATCTGCACATTGTATGAAATAGGGGCTTTAAAATATCTTGAAAACAGAATAGGACTGCTTTTCCAAAGGAATGCTTACTTGTAAATCAGAGAGTTTCAAAATTGAGTACAAGATTATCATCATAACTTTTGATTTTGCTGCGAAAAAGGAAGACAATGTATTAACAAATCATTTACTGTTGTTCATCAAAAGAAGAAAACTTTGATAACAACTAATGATGATAAAATCAAGCTATCTTTTAATATTTTAAATTGATAAGACATTCAAAATATTTGAATGGTTTAAAATATTTTCTTTTAATTTCAATAATATATTATCATGATTATATAATCAAATTTAAATTTTTATTCAAAAAGGCAATATTTCAAACTTTTAATTTCAATAATCTTAATTCGGCAATAAATGTATTTAATTGTAGCAAATTTAATGATTCTTCGTCATGGTTAGCAATTTGGAGCTCATAAATTAATGATTTCTTCAAGTAAAATTCTGCATTATTTCAAAAATCAATAATTCTCTAGTAACTTTTCTTCAAACCCTAACCATTATAATATATGTAAAATAGAAAATAATTGCAAAGAAAGATAGCCGAATTTACTGGGTAGTTCTTGTGATGCGAAATAATTGGAAATTAACACCTAGTTTTAACAGCATCATTCTCTTTTTGCTCTCATTTAAATGCATTCGCACACTTTAATTTTGAAATATAAGAGTTTTGGAAATTATCAAATTTATCTGCTCAAATACTATAGATCTTCATAAGTGTTAATAGAATTACAAGGCTTACATATAGTGTTTAATATAATGATGCACATCATACTGGGATTTATTCCTTATTCATCTAGTTATTATAAGATTTACAACCCCATGAAAATTTAAAATTTTGTCAAAAATAGTGAATGTACCTTTTCCAAAACCCAGTGCAATAACTACTCTATTCAAAGTTTTCAATACTATTTTCATAAAACGAAGGTCCGATTTTGGGTTCGTAAATAAAAACTAAAAAAGAGCTTTCAAAAGGTCAACGTAGTTTTAGCGGTTATAGAAAATTTTAGTGTTCGGTAGGATAATAATGTACTGACTATTTCTTTTCGTTTTGCAACCACTCATATAAAAATCAACAACAAGAAAAAAAAATTTCTCTCATAAAAAATGGGAGAATCACACGCAGTGATTGCTCCTAATAGAATTGGCGATTTTATCTTTAAAGGGACTATCGGAGAAGGTGCTTTTTCGATCGTTAAGCTGGTTGTTAAAGAACAAAATGGTCAATACTACGCTTGTAAAATCATTCCAAGGGCCAAGCTTGAAGGAAGCATTAGAACCAGATTCGAGCTTGAAATTAGGATCAACCAACAAATGCGGCACCCAGGTGTTGTCGCATTAATAGATTTATTCAAAGATGATTTCAATTATTATATTATTATGGAGTTTTGCCCTAATGGAGAACTCTTCGAATACATTGTTCAGCACGGTAAACTGTCAGAAAGAGAATGCAAGCCTCTATTTTATCAATTAACCTCAACTATTCAATTTATTCATAACATGAACGTATGCCATCGTGATTTAAAACCCGAAAATATACTTATTGACAGATTCGGAAGATTAAAAATCTCCGACTTCGGTTTATCTCGATTCATGGGACCGAATTGTATCGTCTCTACTTCATGCGGCTCACCATGCTATGCATCTCCCGAATGCATTAGTGGGAAGCCATATAATGCAAAAACGAGTGATGTTTGGTCACTAGGCGTTATTTTCTACGCGATGTCGAGTGGATTATTGCCTTGGACTAAACGAAATCAAACAGAACTATACCAACAGATTTCCACAGGCGACTACAAGATTCCCAACCACCTGTCACCTGCCCTTGCCGATCTTGTTCGTAAAATGTTAACAGTTGATTTGAACAAGAGAATAACAATTGCGCAAATCCTTGATCACGATTTCTTCAAAGATATCAACAAGCAAGTCGTTTACCCGCCTTTAAACGTTCCTTTAGTTTCTCTGAAGAAAATTGATCAGTTCTTCGAACGAGATAAAGAGGAACAGTACCGTAAGGACCACCCAGACGAATTCAGTTCTTCTACCGGAGATAACTCGTTCAGAAAACAATTAGATCAACTTTCAGAGAAAAAACACTACCTGATAAAGCAAAGAAACATTCTTTACGCAATGAAGGGTGAGCATCAGCCAAAAGTTCACGAGGTTACAGAAGCAGATAAACAGAACGCTTTAAAGGAAATTCACGAAATATGCAACAAAAATAAGACTGTAAACACAATAAAAGTCGTTGATACTACTAATTCGAGAAAGCCTGTACCAAAAACATCCCTCGTAAACCGTGGACATGGAGCTAAACAACCTACACCAAATAAGGTTATTGTGAAACCTGGAATTTCTGTTGGTAGCGCTTCTAGATTATAATAATATTTATATAAATTGTTTGTATTATGCTTATTTACTCGATATTTTTTTATTTGATTGATTTTTATTGTTTGAATTATTTCCATAATTTAATCCGCGGTTTAATTCAATATCTCACAAATTTTAAATAAAAATTCAGAGCCAACGGAGATCAAATAAAAAATACGTTCATATCTCAAAAACAACTCATAGAATTCATTTTTCATGTTGAATTCCAAATTATTGAATTATTTTCATGCTTGACAGTTGGATTCCATAGAATATAATCTGATTTTGGAGGAATTACAAAAATTTCGATTGCTTCGTAAAGAATTCGCTCAGATTGTGCTACAAATAGGTAATTCAGTTTGTATATAATGGATACCAAACATTAGTTTAATTACGAGCAAGGTTAATATCAATGAAACGAAGAAACACAGCGGATTCTAAAGAATATTTGAGTTTAATGACTAGCAATTTCGAGTCTAGAACGATGTTTTAGCTTAAAACCTTGAATATTCAAAATATACAACATGATTAAATCTGAAGTTATTCAAACAATATCAAAATCTTATAAAAATCAGCTCTTATGCAATACTATAAGAAAACTTAAGTAAATTAGACAATTAAAATGGTCAGTGGCATCATCTTGCCGTGGTAAAAATAGAAGTTCATATGAAATAAAAAAATCAAAGCGTCACTTTTTGCAAAAATTTGAATGGAAGGTCAAAAGAAATTAGTTTTTGCAGTTGTTCATGGCATAGTTCAAGGTGTTATGTTTAGACAAACATTTCTTCACGCTTGCTACAAACGAGGAATCGCTGGTGGCGCAACAAATCATCCAGATGACATTCATCGCGTAGATTTATCAATGGCTGGCGATGCTTCCAAAATCCAAGAAATATTAGACAAAATGGCATCAGGTGATAAGTTAAATTCTAATCTTGCTCGTGTTGAAAAACTTGAAATTGTCGAAGATGGTTTACTTCCTTATGAACACGAAGCAAATACTAAGTCAGTCAAATGCGATAATGAAATACCAGGAATTAACTTTTATCTTTAATATTATTTTTTTGTTCTTATCGAATAAATTATTCCTTTGTATTTGTTTTTAATAAAAAAAACTATAAAAATCTAATTCAGTCCACAAACACAAAGAAGCAATAATATTGCATTCATTAAAAGTGCAAATATTAAAATTATTCATTAAATTTTCGAAATTTTCTATAAAACTATTTATTAATATGAACATTGATTAAAGAATCAGCTAACTGGGTCGTTTGGTAGTAGTACATATTAGTTAGGTAGCTGTTGTGGATATTGGCCTTGTAATAGTTGTCATTGAGGAGGATATTGTCCTTGAAATGGAACTGTACAAAGTTTTAGACATTTATCAAATTCTTCTGGATGGTGAAGGGTAATGCGCTGAAGAAATTCAATAGCTGTTTTACCTCTTCGGATTTGATCAGGAACAATATTGCGTCCTTTCCGTTTATATACCTGAGCTACGTATTCGCCTGGTTTAGCATTTGGTGGGAATGATAATGGTACACAGAGTGGAGTATTGTATTGTAATGAATATTTCTGTGGAGGTGGAGCACAATACGTCCAATTTGGAGGAACTGTACAAAGGCTTAAATTCTCTTCAAAATCTTTTTGCTTGCATGAATGAGTTTTGAGATAATCATATGCAGCATCACCTCGCAGTAATTCGACGCGCTCTACTCCATAATTATTTTCGTGGAAAACCTGAACGATGACTTCGCCTGGGGTAGCATCTGGTGGGAATGGATAAGGTACACATGATGGAAGAGGTTTAACTGGAGATTTGCCTGCTTCATCAGTAGGATCATCAAATTGTATGAATGGTGGATTCATTTGTTGTGCATTATACATATCAAAATTAGGTTGAGGAGGGTACTGTCCTTGAAATGGAACTGTACAAAGCTTTAGACATTTATCAAATTCTTCTGGATGGTGAAGGGTAATGCGCTGAAGAAATTCAATAGCTGTTTTACCTCTTCGGATTTGATCAGGAACAATATTGCGTCCTTTCCGTTTATATACCTGAGCTACGTATTCGCCTGGTTTAGCATTTGGTGGGAATGATAATGGTACACAGAGTGGAGTATTGTATTGTAATGAATATTTCTGTGGAGGTGGAGCACAATACGTCCAATTTGGAGGAACTGTACAAAGGCTTAAATTCTCTTCAAAATCTTTTTGATTGCGTGATTGAGTTTTGAGATAATCATATGCAGCATCGCCTCGCAGTAATTCGACGCGTTCTACTCCATACATATTTTCGTGGAAAACCTGAACGATGACTTCGCCTGGCATTGCATCTGGTGGGAATGGATAAGGTACGCATAATGGAAGAGGTTTAGTTGGAAGTTTGCGTGTCCAATCAGCAGGACCATCAAATGGCGTGAATGGTTCGTGGGTTTCAGGTGCAATATGTATGACAAAGTGAGCTTCGCCAACTTTTTTGCCTGATTTAGATGGCGTCAGTGGATATCATTCATCCACAACTTTTCCAGTTGGTATTGACTCGAGATTAAGTTTAATGAATCCGAATTTATCATTCTTTTTGAATGTATCATAATCTGAGAAACGAAATTCAATGATACTCCCAGGATGGTCGAGAGGGATGGAAAATGTTTCATCCTATTTTGGATTGTACGTTTTTTTGATAACTTTTGTCGCTTTAACACGTTTATTATCTAGGAATATCTCAATAAATGGATCGCATTTCCCAAATAAATCTTCTTTAGGCATGTATTTTGCTTCTATAACGCGAAGATTTAGATTCATATTGAAAAATGAGATGAAATAAACAAATAACGGTATTGATAGATTTACAAAATATAATTTTCATAACATGAAAAAAAAATTGAAACAACGTTGACATTGAAATTTTCATTTGGTTAAGGGAGGCTTACGACCAATTGTCACTTTTTGGACCTTGATGGGAAAATGCAACTTCGCAAGGTCCCAAGGTCCCGAAAACCAAAAAAATTGATGAAAGCTAAAAATGCTCAGTACAGTATAAAGGTTCATGTCCTACCGCTCAAACTTTCTAATTCTTTCAAAAATTTAAAATTTTAAATTCAAATTAACTAAATACTATCATTTCAAAACTAAAACTCATACAGAAAGTAATCTAATGAATAAGCGATGTTGAATCATAAGGCATACATGACTGATTAAGTTAATTTTATTATGATGTATATGATGAGAAAATTAGATTGAAATCAGTATTAAATTAAATATCATTAGTATGCTATAATATGTGTCGTGTTTTCATTTGATTTTGAGAATATAACGCTTTTGATAATCTTGAATAAGCGATTCCGAACGTTTGTTTAAGGAGACTTTATAATTTTTAACCTATGTGCGTGGTGATTGTACTAGAGAATATGTTGTTAAAAGTTGTAGAAATGTGTTTCTTTTACATTAAAATTATGAAAAAGAAAAATGTTTCAATTTGAGAAATATAGTTCTACATAATAACACATTTGGAAATATCTTCACTTTTCATCCAAATTCCGAACTTGAAAATTTCTCTCAAAAAATTGATACAGCTTTGAAAAAGTAAAATAGCACAATGTATTACCCATTAATTTACAATTAGATTTTAATAAAAAATAGCTGAAAAAAGTGAGAAAAAGGTGACGATTTGACATAGAATTTTTAAACTAAGTATTTTAGTATCTCCATATATCGACAAATATATTTAAAAAAAAAAAAAAAAAGGTAGTGGGGCTTCCAGGCACTTCGTGCCTTCTAGCCCTGAAGATGATTATTATAAATGAAGTTTTTTATTCGGAAAATTGTTAGTCTTCTGGGTCGAAAACATTATATATAATGTGTCGCTTTTCACAAATTATATATGTTTTCATGTTTTGTCAAACATGAACGTACATGTTTTGTCAAGACTTCTTCGTAAATGTTTTGTCAAGACTTCTTCGTAAATGTTTTGTCAAACATGAACGTAAATGTTTTGTCAAGACTTCATCGTAATAAGTGTAAATGACCAAAAATATAATTTAGGGTAGAAGGTTAGATCTAACCTCTTTTCTAACCTCTTTTCTACCCTCTTGAATTTGTCAAGACTTCTTCGTAAATGTTTTGTCAAACATGAACGTAAATGTTTTGTCAAGACTTCATCGTAATGAGTGTAAAAGGACCCCAAAAATATAATTTAGGTGAAGAGGTGAGATCTCACCTCTTTTTTCACCTCTTTTTTCACCTCTTGAATTTGTCATGATTTCTTCGTAAATGTTTTGTCAAACATGAACGTAAATGTTTTGTCAAGACTTCTTCGTAATGAGTGTAAAGGACCCAAAAATATAATTTAGGGTAGAAGGTTAGATCTAACCTCTTTTCTAACCTCTTTTCTAACCTCTTTTCTACCCTCTTGAATTTTCATGATTTCTTCGTAAATGTTTTGTCACTTTTCTGTCACTTTTCAGGAAAAAACATTTTTATTATTATATATAAATGAATTTTACAAAACCACCGTTACCGTTCTTTGGAAATAAGAGTAGATGTAAAGATATTATATTGAGAGAACTTAAGAAACTACCGAATGGTCTAACATTTGTAGATTTGTTCGGTGGAAGTTTCTATATATCCCATTTGTGCCATACAATATTCCCAGACTCAAAGATTATATGCAATGACTTCGACAACCATATGGACCGTCTCAAACATATACCAGACACAAACAATATATTGAAAGAGTTAAAAGAAAAGATACCTATAGGTAAGATGGAACGTATACCATTAGATAAGAAAAATATTGTGAGAGAGGTTTTGAAAAAAGCAGAATATATAGACTGGGATAGTATATCTGCTAGACTATTATATAGTGGTTCTATAAGAGTTCATGACATTGAAACACTTATGTCAAAAGTTTTATATCTTAACTATACAAATGTTTTCAAAGAGGACATAGAAAAATATATTGAGGGTATAGAGTTTGTGAGATGTCATTGGACAGATTTGTATGAAAAATATAAAGACAAGGAAAATGTTTTCTTTATAGTGGACCCGCCGTTCTATAACACATGGGATTTTCAATACCAAGTAGACTGGACTTTGAGAAGCCTTTTCCCCCTTATAGAATGAGATAGGACGGTTATTTTACAAAACTGACAACACTTTGACCGAGTAGTTTTTTGTGCTGAACAAAAAGTGTCATATAAACATCTGTCAAAAACCGTTTTTTACTTCACTTAAAATGCCACGTAAGCTACGTAAGAATATACGTAAGAGGAAGAGAGCATTGAAACATCCAATAGTAAAACTGACACCACAACAACAGTTGCAACAACAAATTATGAATGACCCCACTATGCTGCAACAAATGTCAAGCAACCCTATGCTTTTAAACCGAGTTATTGGTGCACAGAGTGGAGGTTTAAGAGCGGCACTTTTAGCGAAAATGGCAGGCTATGGTGGAGCTGCAGACGGAACAGCTTATAACCCTCAAAGTCAAATGAATTTGAGTTCACTCAAAAATCAAATAACAGATGTCAAAAAGTCAAACATAGACATACAGAAACAAATAAGTGAAAACGAAAAGAAACTAGAATATGACAGACACACAAAGAAACTCAATGAGTTAAACGTAGAGAAAAAGAAGAAAGAAGAACAACTGAAAGAACTAAGTACAGAGGAATATGCGAAAAAAGTGTCAGAAAAAGCAGCAGAAGTAGCAAAAATGGAACAAGATGTTATAAATTTGAAAAACCATACTACTCAATATAAAGTACTGAAAGATGAAGAAATAAAACAAAAAGCCCTGAAGACATATATGGATAGCGATGAGTATAAAAAAGAAGTTGAAGCAAATGTAAAGGCAGAAAAACTTTTACAGTTGCAAAACCAAACCGTACAGTATGAAAACTTAGCACAAGAAAGTAAAAATAACGACGCAGCCATGCAAAAGGCAATGAAAAGCGCAGAATATATAAAAGCTAATAATGACTGGTTAGATGCCCAAGCCAACGCTAAAGCAGCCCAACTTATAGGGTCAATAAGGACAAAAATACAAGCGGATGAAGACAGTTCAAATGAAGCTTTAATGAATGCTGACTTTAAGAACGCCTTCGAAGCTCTTCATAGTAAGGTGAAACTAGTGAACGACTTCTCATCTGGAAAGAAACTGAAGTCTGAAGGTTTCGACAACGAGTTAAGAGAAGTAGCACAAAATATGACGAAAATAACAGATGCAGCAACGAGACAGGCAGTTCAAAGTGCCTATGACGCCGTTAGAGCAACTGTTGTGGAAAGTCAAGAAAGAGTTACAACAGACCAAAACAGACCTAGTAAATGCTTTCTTAAAAACGAAAAGTCAGGTAGGACATTATGCTGCAGATGGAACATATGTGCCAGCTGGTGGAACTTATATACCAGCTGGTGGAACTTATATACTAGCTAGTGGAACTTATATACCACCAAACCCTCCAAGAGAAGCACCTGCACCAGGACTACCTAAAACATTTACATCGTCACATGGACACAGACACAGGCATGCACCAAAACCAACACAACAACCAACAGTTCAAAATCCAGCACAACAACCAACAGTTCAAAACACTGCACCACAACCAACAGTTCAAAACACTGCACCACAACCAACAGTTCAAAACACTGCACCACAACAACCACAAACAGAGCAAGGACATAAAAGAAGTAGAGAACAAGGAAACCAAGAATTCTTAAAAATGCTTAAGGAAGACTATGGTTACCCAGATACTCTTGACTTTAGTGACAGATATAAAGAAGCTATTAGAAAGTTCAAGGAAGGAAATACTGACCCGAACCTATTTAGCTTTATGGTTCAGCACCAAATGGGATATAATTTCAAACCTGGAAAATACAAGCTCGCTAAGGGATATGATTTAATAGCATATCATCCAAATGACATGAATGAATTTACTCCGAGATATTTGGTGTCAGAGCTAAATGATAATTCAACTCTCTTCATGAAACGCGTAAAAAATAGAGACGGAACGAAAGAAGAAAGGTTTATGAGTCCGGATGACTTAGATAGGGAACTTGTTAAAAACGGTCTCGGAATATATGAAATGCCAGCAGATGAGGTACAAGAAACTCAACAGGAAGAAGTTCAGATACAACCAGACATGGAAGAAATAGTTCAGCAACAACAGCTAGAAGAGCCAGAAGGAAACGAACAAATCCCTCCTTTGGAAACTAACTTCACAGAACTAGATGAAGATTTGGAACAGCCGAAAAATCTTGACCCTCAACAAGTGTATGCGGAGAATATGGAATCTTTCCAAGAGTCTAAGAAAAATTCGGCTGACATAGTAGAAGAATATCGAAAAATGTTCGCCGACATACAAAAGACTCCAACATCAGATGAAAATATCCAGCATAGAATGGAAGTACTGAAAGATAATGTACACAAATACAACAATCCTTTTTACTTACGAGCATATAACGTTCAATCTTTGGATGAACTCGGTGAAAATAAAAGGTTAAATTTCAACAAAACATATAGAAATGAAACATTGTTTAAAGTTCATTCAGAACCTAGCCAATATGGAAACAAACCTACTTTTGTTTCTGCAGACGATGGAACTACAATGAGATGGGGTCATAAAGCTAATCCGGATAGGTGGTTCATAAACTTACAACCACAATTCCAAGAAGTTGTAGACGCAATGGAAGTGAATGGTGAACCAGATGTAGCTGGTATTTCAGCGCGGCTTTAATGCCATTGAAAGATATGAAAGATGCAGATATTTTGGACCAGTATGAAATGAACATGGCTGATGGAAATATAACACCTGACGTTCTAAAACATTTATCTCAAAGAACTACACAGAACCATAGAGATGGTATATTTGGTGAAGAGTTTAGAAAGAAAGTTAGGGAGATAGAAGGAAGAGAACCTATTGTACATGACCTTGCAAACGAAAGTTTACAAAATGTCATAAAAACTTACTTTGCAGACAATGAACCGAGAAGGGATGAATATTTAAGAAAACTCAAATGGACAGTACCAAATGAAATGTTAGTATTGAAAAACATGTTCCTTGACAAAATAAAACCAACTACAGAAATAAATGACGCAAGACTGAAACATTGGGTAAAAGCTTTCCCATTCACAAAAGATATTATTGGTAACATGGAAAGAAAACCAGAATGGCTACAAAAACATATATTTGGAAACGAGCTTATTCCATATGGACAAGCTCTGTTTGAAGAGCTTGAACCGGAAACTCAGGAAAGAGTCATGCAAACAATACGCGAAGACTCAAATACAAACTATGACAAAATCTTTCTAGGATATAGGTTACCTGAGTTGGGCGACCAGAGCCCAAAGGCAAAAAGGACATGGGAAATTTACAACATACTAGGTGAACATGAGGCAAAGATGCAACAACTTGAAGCAGAGGGCAAGTTACCAAAAGCGACACCAAAGAAGAAGAGTAGAACAAAGTAAAGCTTGGTCCGAGTGGGTTCTATTATGATATATAAATCCAACTATTCTATATTTTTACCCATATGAAATGTACGCCGCTCAGAATATAACGCCAACAGTTTTGGATGCCATGAACGGAAATGTTTCCGAATGGTATAACGAATGCGACAATGCCATTAGAAGGTCAGAAATAGTTCCTGGAACTTACGAATATACAACTGCTGTTTCTTATGGAAACGTAGGTGAGTTTGGAGAAGGTTCTTCAACAACAGTAGATATTGCTTGCGACAGGTTTCATATTATTTCTATTGACAACTCATTCTTATACGTGGAACAAGACATTGAAATAAAACCTTCTGCCAAGTTGTCTGACAAGAAAGGTTGCAATGGAATTTTCTATGTCGGATACCAATATGCTCCAGAAGTTTTCATGGGATATAAGATATATTCTAACTCTGACTTAGTTCAAACAGTAACATGGGCAAACTATGAATGGTTCGCTTTGAGAAACTCAGTACAACCACAAGCTAGAGAACAAACAGACCAGTATGCAAATATTGAGAAAATAAGAAGACTTGACCCTAACGTTCCAGGAGTTTATGTTAACCTTTCTGGTTCAGATGGAAATGCTGCCACTAAAGTAAAACTGAAACTTAGAGTTCCTTTGTCATCTTTCCTCATCTTCAGGTTTTTAAGATACTTGCCAAACTGGGCAGGAAAAATTTCTATCGAACTTACTCCAAGCAAAAATAACTTAGTCATTGCACCAACACAAGACCCATTCACTCTTACAGACGTAATGGGAACAAATAAAACGTCATTCGCCGACTTTTGCAAAGACAAAGTTGACTTAGACTTTGGTTTCTCAAACTTCAACAATGAAGTAAACTATTATTTCAATGCTGCTGGAACTGCTTGGGACCCAGTTAAGTTCACATGCGAAAAATTTGAATGCAAGAGAATAGAAAGCAGACTTGCAGTCTATATGTTGGACCCAGATATTTCAAATGCTTTAGCTGCCAAATATATTGCAGTTCCACTTATGTTCCCTATACACCAAATATCTGTCAAAGACTTTGCAGGTGAAGTTGGAAACCAAAGTGCTGACCCAGGTGCAAGAACAGATATTGCTTTAACAACTGCAATGAAACATGCAGATACTATGTTTGTACTGTTCAGACGAACTATAAATGACTATTCTTGTTTCTACAACCCCGGTATTAAATATCATATAAACATAGATGGCAAATATTATCCAAGAGAAGAATATTCTACAGTTGAGGATATGAGGTCATACAACTTGACATTAGATGCTATGAACTTTAACAACAATTTCACAACAACCATTAACCCTGAAATGCAAAGTTCTATTATGCCATATGTGAAAGTATGGACTCATACAGGAGGTCAAAAAACTCAATATACAAATGGAGACCGTTCAAACTTTTGGCTTGGCATTCCATTTGCTGACTCAGAAGACTTTATGGGTGGTATTTCAACTGTTGGTACTGTACAAATACAATATACTGGTGACAGAGACGGTCCAGATGAACTGAGAGCAAAGAAGTTTACAAAACCAATAGCACTTTTCACGGAAGATGCTCTTTTGAAGATTCGTTCGATGAAACCTGCTGGGGCTCCTCAGATTGGCATAACGACAGCTTCCATCGAGCAGATTTTGGCAGCAGGTCAGTAAGTTGTTCTTGAACTGACTTCTCTCCGTCAAATATTGACAGTACGCCAGTTTTGACATAATATTGTAAGATAAACTTACCTTTAGAAATATCTGTAAGTTTTGTTGTTATATTTTTGTCTGCTTCAAGAACTTTCACCATTTCAGTTATACCAACTTTCTTTGCTTTATGGAAATATTTTGGTTCAGCAGATATTGCTATTCTATAACATTTACCATTGTTTGTATAAAGAACTATTCTGTCAATGTATTTGTATTGTTTGTGTGTGTAAACTTTGTTCTGCTTCAATTCGAAGAGATACTCGAATACGTCCATCTTTTTATTCTAAGTAAAATGTCATTTCCGAAAAATAGAAGCGTAAGTGTTTCAAAAGGTTTAATGGCGGTGGCAGATGTGAAGTTAAATTCACCAACTCAAACAAACAGTCAAAGTGTTGTTGTCAATGTCAAAGACAGAGATGTTGAAGTGGGGAAACCATACGAAGACGAAGATGGTATAACAATTGTTCCTGTAAAAGAACAACCAACATATCCTGAAGTTAGCAGAGACTTAAGTTCTGTTGCAGATATTCGAAATGACTACCAACAACTGAAAGACAAACTTCAAACTCAGGAGAAGATTTGTCAAGCTTTAGGTATAATGTTAAACTTGGTCGAACACAACCCTGTAAAAGTGAACTCATATGTCATTGCACCTCATGAAGTTTTGAAAGAACTATTGAAACTTTTGACAGAGGCAGACGATATAAACATCAAAGAAATAGAACCCGACATTAGTTGCTGTGGTGTTTCATATAATGTCATTGACAAGATATACGTTATGAAAGGAGGTGAAACGTTGAACTTAAAGTATAGTTTCCCAGACGTCATAAAAATATTTGACGACCACAACATTTCATTAAAATTTATTTGCTAAGTAAAAATGTCAAAACTTCTTGAAAGATGTTTGAAGAAAAATAATATAGACTTTATTTCATGTAAAGGACTTTACACACTTTTGAACGATATGAAAGACCCTGTTTTGTTTGTTCGTGTAGACAAAGGAAAGTTCTATGTCTTTACAAAATATTTGAACTTCTTAGACAGAGAACTTCAAGAAACGCCATGTGAAAGTTTAGATGAAGTTCTTCTCCACTTTCAGAAAAACTTTTAAATATATATAAATGGCAGAAGATATAATGGTTTATACTATTACGACTAAAAACCCCGAGTCATATAATTCTATAACAACAAACTTACAAAGTCCTCAAGGACGATATTGTAAACTAACCTTAAACACAATGACGACTAAAGCCTGTTTTGCTCTTTTGACACCAGAAGACTTTATTGTTGTGAATGGTAAAAAATACTCCTTTGAAGATACTTACTCAGATATACCACCAACAGGTTTTATTGACTTATTTAATACTTTAAGTACGGGTGTAACATGTGCTGCAACTAGAGCAGGTTTCATTATGTTTGGATGTCCGACTGAGTTTACTATAAACGATATGAGCTATAATACAAAACTTATATCTGGTTTTTACTACCAACAGTTTCCTATAACAGGAAAAGGTGTCATACAAGGAATGTCTATTCCATTGACATTAAGCACACCAATCTTATATATTGTTTCAAACTTAGGTTCAAAGTGTTATTCGAATGTCGACAGAAACTATTATGACCAAAGATACTTATGCGTATAAACAATACTTTCTCTGCTGGTTTGCCTATTGTTCATTCGAATGCAGAATTTTCAACCTTAGTGAACTCAAACACTTTGGCAAGTATAACGTTGACATTAGTTGACGCAAACTTTGTTCCTGTAAAACTTTTATGTCCTATGTATTTGTCAATGACAGCAGAAAGTTTCGAATTGGAAGATGCAACTGGTGAAAGTATTGTATTACAAGAACAACTTCAACAACAAATAGCTCAAGAACAACAAATGCAACAACAAAGTCAAGAATAAAAAAATATTATTTTTTTATTTTTATAAAAATGTACAGAATAGATGTTTCAGATTTTTATGACTTCCAAGCATTCAGAAATATGTGTCCATTTAGAGACTATAACAAAGCAGTCGAGAATTTGAAACGTTTAGTCATTTATGTTGACTCTGCCCAGAATGTTATGTCATGAAAGAATGGGATGTTGTCTTTAACAAACCAAGAGCAACAATAGTTTCAGAACAAGAATGTAGACAGAAACTTAAGAAAATAAAAGTTGTACAAGTTGGAATGAAGACGTTAGATGCTTGGGATATCTTATTGTCAAAGTTAGAAGATTTTTCAGTTCGAGGTATAAAGTTCTATACACCTTCTCCAAACTTCTATTCTATCTTCACTGGATATAAATATGAACAAGTAGAATGGAAAGAAAATATTATAGAAGCTTGGTTAGACCATGTCAAAGAAATTATATGCAATGGAAACGAAAAGGTTTATGAGTATATCTTATGTTGGTTTGCAAACATCTTACAACATCCAAGTGCTAAAAATGAAACTGCTCTCATTATAATTGGAAAACAAGGAACAGGTAAGAACACATTCTTTACAGATATCTTGTGCAAACTGTTAGAAGGTTATTCGAATCCGAATATGACAAACTTAGAAAACATCTGTGGCAAGTTTAACTCCTCAATAGAGAATATGAAACTTATAGTTTGCAATGAACTTCAAAGTATAGATACAACAAAAGTTTTGAACTCAGATGCTTTGAAGAGTCTTATAACAGACAAAGTTGGAGTTGTTGAAAGAAAGTATAAAGACCAAAGAGTTTGTGAAAATGTTGCAAACTTCATTATGGTTTCAAACAATGCTGTTCCGATGAAGTTAGAAAGTTCTGACAGAAGATATGTAGTTGTCAGAACGTCAGATTCTCATATGCAAGATACAGAATATTTTGACGACTTAGCAGAAACTTTGACATCTGACTTTTACAACCACTTGTTCTCATATTTCATGACATTAGATATTTCTAAGTTCAATCCAAGACAAATTCCACATACCGAAGAGAGACAAACATTGTTAGAAGCAAACAAGAGTGTATATGAACTGTTCATAGATGAAACTGACTTTGAGTGTTTAGATGAAAAGTCTTTATATGATGAATATAAACAATATTGTCAAGAATATGGTTATATGGCAGCTTCTAAACGAACATTCTTGGCAAATGTCAAAAGTCTTTTAGATGTTCAGAATGGTGTATATACAAAGAAAAATTTTTCTGAGTAAATTTAAAAAAAATATTTTTTATCCGATAGAAAAGATGGCAAAATTCATCTCAGTAAATAAGTACATGTCAGGACTTAAAGAAGAACTAGACCCATTCACATATTTGAATGTTTACTTCTACCATTTTGAAAAGTCTTCATTCAGCAAAGTTTGGAACATCGAACCAGTTAAGTTTGCTATTGTGACTAAAAATGGTGCAAAATTTGAAGACTTAGACATAGAAGGTTTGTTAACAGTCAAAGAAAGTTTTGACAGAAGGTTCTCAAACCTTAAAGAAGGCAAAGCATACAAACTTGTTATACCTTATGAACCAAAGAAGACAGACGACTATGAATATTATGAGTCTAAAGTTGTAGAAGTTCAAGGTAAATTGGGTAAAAAGATTTTTAGAGTCTAAGCCAGTGTTTACTCCTAAAGAGGAAGAGAACATTGACATTGACCCAGAAATGTTCTAAAAATAAAATTTTATTTTTTACATGTCAAATTTCTTTTTCTCTGGAACTGGTTCAGATTCTTTCTTCTTTCTTTACTTTCTTTTCTTTCTTTTCTTTCTTCTTCTTTTCTGGTGGAGTTATGTCAAATTTGCGCAACTATATTTATGTAAAAGTTCTTTGTCCTTTAATAGCTCATCTATTCTGTTTTCTATTTCATCTTCAAGAACAGCGCATGTGTCTTCTTTGCATTTAAGAAGTTTGTTGGACTTCATCTCTCCAAGAGGCGTCATCTCTGTCAACAAGTCTGTCATTGACAAATTTTAAGACTTCTCTGCTTAATGTTTTATGTCTTGTCATATTCCCAGAAACAGAACTTTAGAACAAATTCCCCTTTCTTGTTTACACTATGGTAAGATTTTATGGTCGACAGATGTTTTGCTGTCGAAAAGCTTGTCTCGAATATAGATAGCGAAATCGCTAGACATTTTCTAAAGATAAAAATTTTTAATTTTTCTAAAAATATGTTAGAAAAAAAGTTTGCTGACATTGACAAGAAATTTGAGAATGTTTAAACAAGAACAAGGAAGTTAGAAAATGCTCAGATAAAACCTATACATGACAAGTTCTTATTTGCTCAGAATGGTATAACAGGTCTAATTGCACCACCTGGGTCGGGTAAGACTTTCACTTATCTTAAAATGGCTGCACAACAACAAGAACTAGATGAGAAGAACCCATTTTATGAGTTAGTTGTCATTTGTAGTACTTCTGGTCAATTTGACCAAACGTCAATTCGTTCAAAGATATTATAAAGAAGTCTAAGTTAGTATGTATAAAAGACTCTGAGTTGTTAGATTGGATAAAGAAGTACCAAAGAAGAGTTTTGAAGTATAATGCTATAAATGAGTATATAAATTCTAAGTTTAAAGACCCAAATGAGGAAATGCAGAGAATATTAGAGAAGAAACACTTCAGAAACAAACAGAAAGAGATAGAATACATTTCGAAGAAATTGCAATCTTACGATTGGAAGACTTACCCTCATAGATGTCTTCTTATCTTAGATGATTTCGCCTCTCATCCTTTGCTTAAGAATAGAGAACAAGATATGTGTCGAATTCTTAAGAAGCTCAGACACTTTAACATCTCAGTCGTAATATGTGTACAGACAGCAAAGAGTTTAAGTAAGGATGTAAAGAGAATACTTACTGACATTGTACTTTTCCCCGGATTGTCCGAAGACGATTTCATGGAACTTATGAAAGAGTCCATGGCAGGTAAGTTTGACAGACATGAACTATGGGAGAAGTATAAAGTCATACAAGACCCTCATACTTCTTTCAGAATTCATATCTACGCAAACAAAGTTCAAATTGTAAAAAGTCAAGCTTGAAAAATGTAAGTGTTTAGTCTTAGTAAGATGGTAGCTTCTTAAAGCATATGCCGTCCTTGAGTTTTAGGTACGTGAAGAGAAGTACAATGAATTCAATTACGAGTACAATTGCAATGACAACCAAGGCAACTATTTTTGTCTTTTGCCAGCAAGGGTACTTCTTCTCTTCCAATGGTTCGGCAGAACTATACTCACTCATGAGAAATGCCAAAACGGTTTAATAGAAAAAGTGTCATTTTTTTCATGTCCGAAGACTCGAAGGTGCAACACTTCCAAAATACCGACGAACTCAGAAGAGCAGCATGGCAGTATCTTCTTGACAACTTCTTTGAGTTCTCCAGGTACACCTTGGAAAATGCTGAAGAACTCCGACACAGAGAATTTGGAGAAATTGCACTCCAATACTACCTTGACAAACAAAGGGTAAACAAAGGGTAAAATAAGACTAAAAACTTAACATTTAAAAAGTGACATTTTTATGAGCTCCGAGTCACCGAGAAAACTTGGTCAGATGTTAGCAGCTTACTTCCCTGAGGAGGATGGAAGCGTTACATACATCAGGTTCAAAAACAACGAACCTGGAATTGCGTACAAAATTCGCAATTACATGACCATGGAAGAGTACGAAAGGTTCCTACAAGAGAAACCAGCTCTAAACAACTCAGAAAAGAAAGAATAAAAAGTTTAACTCGTAATTGTTTATTTTTTTACTTGTATGGGCAAGCTGCAAGAATGAAGTCGACTATCTCAGTCTTTGTCTTGACCAGTTGGACGGCTCTTGCGAGTACGTCTGTTTTGCGGTCTCCAGCTGGTGTCTGACCTTCGTAATTGCGCATGTTCTTGAGAGCTCCAACTGTAAATGGTTGTAGGATGAAGAGTCTCTCAGACTGCTTGAGGTAGTCTTCACGGTCACGAACCGAATCTGTGGTACGAGTCGAATCGGTCGATTTGAGGGAAGAGAGTGAGAGCCTGTCTTCTTCCATTGGGGTAGTAGCATACTCTTTGCGTAAACGGTTCAGACCTTCTTCGAACTCTTGGTCTCTCTTCGATTTGGATTGAGATTGGAATTGGAATTGCTGGGGTGGAGCTTGCTGGAACATCCAAGGGTTGGGGAAGTAAGGCATAGGCTGAGGAGGGTAGTTCGGGAAGCCTTGTGGTGGGTAGTAACATTGAGGTGGAAATTGGTAGTAAATCGGAGGTACTTGCTGGAACTGAGGTTGCTGAGGAGACTGTTGTGGTTCCTTAGGTTCCTCTGGTTGGGATATGGGCTCGGTTGGTGGGACGTCGGACATTCGTTTGTGGCTTAACCGTCGGACCACAACGATAAAAATCTCTGCTACTAGCAGTACTGCTACTGACAGTAGCAGTACTTTTACTGACAGTAGCAGTACTTTTTCTGACAGTAGCAGTACTTTTACTGACAGTAGCAGTACTTTTACTGACAGTAGCAGTACTTTTACTGACAGTAGCAGTACTTTTACTGACAGTAGCAGTACTTTATCGTCGAAAACCCTCTCAAATTTTCCTTTTTACTGACAATAGCAGTACTTTTACTGACAGTAGCAGTACTTTTACTGACAGTAGCAGTACTTTTACTGACAGTAGCAGTACTTTTTCTGACAGTAGCAGTACTTTTACTGACAGTAGCAATGGTCGAGGTCGAACCTACCGACGAGGCAATTTACCTAATTGAAATTAACGAGCTTGTTAAAGACTTCCTTCAGGCGAATGTAAAAGGCAAGCTTGTTAGCGGTTGGATAACGGGAAGGGCTGCCTTGAATCTCGAGACTTCGACTGGAATTCAATTCAAATACCAGACGGACAGCCTACGACGACATAAAGCAAGCAAAGAAAGAAGCTCTTCTCAAGTTCTTTGCAAAGCGTCCTTGGATACTACTTCCAAACAGAGAGAACCCTTTCCAAGAATGAGCCAAATTCTCAAGGGTCTCCTTCACTTCTCGGGTCAGCCGTTCTACATAACCTGTGAAGGCGACATCCAACCAGTTCAGTAAACCTTAACGTTTAGAGTAAAAACATTTTTTTTTCATTTTTTGAATGAAGCAAGTTAAATTCGTCCCACACCAATCTCAATGGACCGATGAAGATTTCAAGCCATAGTTGAAGACGTTGAGAACGACATAGACGGCGAACTTGAAGGAGCTCAAATCACAATTGCAACCAAAATTGCAGGAGTCAAGGAACAGATAGCTCCACTTAAAGCTACCAAAGCTACTCTTGACCTCATGGATAGTTACCGTTTAGATGTCAAGAGTGGAATAAGACAATTAAAATTAAAACTTCTAAACTACGAAGCTATACTCCAAAAGTTTAGCAGAAATGAGAAGACTTACCAGAGCTACTTACATGTAAGGGACTTACCTTCAAGCAGTCCGACCAAAGATGAATTTGTTGACATTGTCCCAATTTTGTCCGAAAGTCAGCTCAGATGTTTCGAACTGCTCCCAACATATCCGGAATATGAACGTTTGCCTGAACTCTTCCGCAATCTCAAAAAACGTTTTTGGTTCTCATGTTCCAAACTTTTATCGGAAGAGACAACAAACGTTCAGAAGAAGAACAAGATATATTTTTAAACTTGTTGTATGACATAACTGTCATAACAAGCTTTTTGAAGTAAAAACCGTCATTCTCAAACCACTTCATTTTTCGATGTCCGAACAAGCACCGAAGCCAAACTCAATGGAAGATGTCCTTTCAAGGTTGCCAGACAAGCGCCCAGTTCAAATTCAAATTGCCCAATTGAAGCTCATCTGACAAACACCATTAAGACTCTCCAAAGTAGTCTTATGACAGAGATGACCAATCTCAAAGCCGATGTCCTCATGAACCAAGCTTCCAATGAGAATGCCTGAACGATTTCACGGAAACCTTGCGCAATTACGAGAGAGAACCGAGACCTTGCCAGACTCATCTACCGTTTCTTCGAAGAGATAGACGCCATCTGGAAGGTACTCGGAAAGGACAGAACATGCAACACCGTACTTCGTGAGTACCAAATTTGAAGAAGGAATTGTCGAAAGAAGAGGAAGAAGAGGAAGAAGAGGAAGAAGAGAAACACGAAGAAGTTCCTGAAGCCGCTACATGGGCAACCCTTGTTGCCGATGACGGTTACGAAATTTCCCAACCCTACCCATACCAAATCCGCAACAAGGAGACAGGCAAGGTTCTTACCCCAGTCCTCAACAACTTGGGACACTTGAACCTTAACCTTCGGAATCGCGGTTCAATCTCCATGGGCAAGCTTGTCGCAATTCAATGGGTTCCAAATCCAGACAAGAAGACGAGGGTCAGACACATTGACGGTGACAAGCTCAACAACCGTAAGGAGAACCTCGAGTGGTTCTAAGAGTAAAAAAATTTTATTTTAGGGGGAAACCCCAAGTAAATTTAGGTGTTTATTTGGATAAGTATGTTAAATTAGGGTAATTTGCAAAATTAGTTCCCGACCTTTGAATTGGGCTCTTTCGTTATCCCAGTTGCGTAGGAGGTCGTCCCAGAGAGTTGGTAGAATTGCCAATCCAAGGACGATTTGTCCTCCCAGGCATTGAGGATGTACTGCTCGTAGAGTTTCATGACCTCTGCCTTGCACCAGACACCCTCTCCCTTGGAACGTAAGGCTTCTTCGAAGTGCTCGAATGCGATTGGCTGCTGACCATCCGAAATGACACTTTTTGTCCGTTTGGTCAATGTTTGTGTCTCGTGCCATAGTCGATGAAAATACAGACAAACAGGTTATATATGAGTTTGAGACCAAGAATGGTGTAACTCGACCTGTCCGATTCAAAGACTCCGAGGGCGACCATGAAATTAAACGGAAATTAGCTAGGAAGGAATATAAAAATTTTTTATTTCATGCAATGTTTTATTTCTGTGCCGTCTTCAAGTATGCCCCAATACTTACGCTTGGAGAGGACATGAACTTCGGTGAAAATTTTGTACCTTTCTGAATTGACCCATCTTTTCACCGACCATTCCCATTTCAATGAGTTTGTTGTATCCTTCTTCGTTCGTCATGAGTGCGTCAATGTTCTCATAGTAAACCTTCACTTTGGATTTGACTTCGGAGAAGAATTTGTTGTAGTTGTCAAGGACTGCCTTTGCGAACTGAGGGTAAGACCAATGTTCGACAATAGGTTTTAATGTGGTTACTAAGCCACTTTGACCTTGAGTGAATTCGACTTCAAAACAAAAGGAGAAAACCTTTCAACAAAGTTGTCGACCTTCTCATAATGTTTACTCTTCATCTCTTGAGGTTTCTTAATGGAATATCCCATGTCGAATTCATAAGCAATTTGAGTGTCATTGCAAGTTTGGGGTTTGAAGCTTTCCTAATATCATACAGTTGTTGTATGACTTTTCCAACTGTATAGTTCCTTCCCGGGAACTCACCATCTTCGTTTGGAATTCCAGTCGGAATATATTGGACAAACCTCATGTATGCAGCGTTAAGGTCGACATAGTATATCTTTTCGTTTGAGTCGAACTTGTCGCAACCAATTGGTCCAGTTTGTGGAAATTCAAGTGAGTCTCTTATCTTCTGAGAAACTTCTCCTGTTATCTCATAAACATCGTCGAAGCAACCTGTTTCATATAAAACCTTCTGACCTAACTCAGATGCTCTCCAATACAATTTGACGTCAATTGGATGTCTCAATGGAAGTTTGTTTATAGCATCTTGAAGTTCTTGCAACCTCATTGGAAGTTCTTCTGGTTCAGGTTGGTATCCGAACAATCCAACTCCTTGTGGAATTGTGTACTTCTTTTGTACTAGAACTTTGTCTGGAACAACTTTTGGTCTTGCTAACAGTGAAAAGTTTGTTTCGTCTTTTGGTACAAAAGTTTCTGTCAGCTTGTCATCTGGAATTGGTTTCCAACAAACCTTTCTCGAAAAGAATGTTTACAGCTCTGACAATGTTGCACTTGCCTTTTCCGAACAATGGGTTTGTAAGACTTTCGTTCAACATGAAGTGGTTGTGGACAATTACAATCTTCAACCATGGTAAATTGAACTCAACAACATAGTCGTCATGTGAAGAACCTTTAGCTGTAGGTATGTTGACTCGGATATTGACATTTGCCAACGGTGCAATTTTTGCCAATTGACCTCTGAGAATGTACCTTGTCTTCACACATGACTCAAGATACTTCATCTTCTCATCTGTAACAAGACCAGAGTTCCTGAGACATGTAAGAATGCAAGGTTCATTGACAATTGTTTCAATTGAATTGTAAATTCCATACCTTGTCAAGTCAATGTCAGACTTATTTATGAACGGAAAGTATCCAGCATGTTGTCTGACTGCTTGAGGGTTAGGTTGGTACCATTCGAACTTGACACTTGCAATTCCTTCAATTGCATTCAAAATGTCTGAGTCGGAGTCAACCATTTGTTCTCTCTTTGTAGTCTTGAAAGCGTCAAGAAGTTTTGCAGCTGTTTGTTCATTGCCATTTGCATAGTAAATGTGACCATCCAAATCCGTTATGGTCAATCTGAGATTGTGTCCTTTCTTATTTCCATCTTGAATTGCAGCAAGTACACCCATGAAGCCTTCTTTGTTCTTTCCTTCGTCAAAGTTTACTGTAAAGGTTCGACCAGATGTAATTTGACTTCTAACTTCACGATACTTCTCATATGCATATCTTGTTCTTTCCATGGGAGCATGACCATCCTCTGCACTACCTTTTTTCCTTCTCAAAGGATGCAATTGTTCGTCATGTTTCCAGTAGAATCTGGCAAAGCCGTCGTGTCCTTCAACTTGAGGTTCACTAACATCGAAAGGCATGTTCATAAGACGTTCTTCTTCTAACCTCTCTAGTCTGTTTGGATAATTGGCACGTGCTGTTTCCAAATCCATTTCGTAGCGAAGACCAGCCAGTTTGTCATAGACTTTTATGGGTCTTCCCTTCCTATATTTAAAATTCTTCGAAACTCTCCAACCATATCTTTGCAACTCTGCTTTTATTCTAGCAGACTTTTTGTCCATTCTATATGGGGGCATTTTTATAAAAATAAAAAAATATTTTTTTTCTTTACTTTACATAACCACCTGCTGCCATAAGTCTTTGACGCCAACCCATACCAGCTAATGAAGGTTGACTTGGTTTAGTTTCCAAACTAAACTTTGGTTTTGGTTTATCTTCAGTTTTTGGTTTCTCTTCTTCTATCGGTTTTTCGTCACTTTTCGGTTCCTCTGACTTTACTTCACTTGCAGGAACAGTTGTGTCGTCAACATCTTCATAAATATCATATGCCATTTGTTTTTGTTTTCCTTTCAACTTTTTGTGTTTGTTGTAAAGTTTAGAATATTTTGACTCTAAGTCAATGAGATGTTCTATAATGAACTGTTGGTCAGTGAAGTAAACTTTTCCATCTGTTGTCTCGAAAGCTCCTTCAGACTTCAATATTTTATTTGTGAGAGTCTGTTTCTTTTTTGAGATACTAGCCGTTCCATTTCTATGAAAAGTGACTTTATAGTTAGGGTTTGTATTTCCAGACCTGGCACTTTCTATTATTGAATTTTTCTCTTCATCTGTAAGTTCTTTGACAGGTTTTGACAATGGTTCTGAACTTTTTGTTTGTGGTGTCAAATCTACCGTTTCAACTTCTTCGGTCATTTCATCTCAGTAAAAAATTTTAGTTTGGTTTGTTTTCAACTGGTTGTTAGGTTTTTTAAGTCGGTCTAAAACTTCCTGAGGTATAGGAAGAACTTGACAAACACGTGTGTAACTGCTGGAAGTCGACAAATCCATCTTGAACCCATTTGTCTCAATGCTGTATTGTTCATTTCATCTCAGTAAAAAACTTTACATTCCCCAAGTTTGAGGTGGTTGCGGTTGGTTATTGTTTACCCACTGTTGTGCATGGTTATATCCTCTGTTAAAGAATCTTTCACCTTGGTCCATATAGTGTCCTGCTTGGTTATAGTAGTCATTTGCTTTGTTATAATAGTTTCCTGCTTGTCTTCCTACATTGTCCATCCATCCTTGAACTTTTCCTCTTGTTTCAGGATTTGGAATAAGATTTGCTGCATCTCGTGCTACATCCCAACCTTTCTGTACAGTTTGTATAATAGGTTGTGCTTTCTCTTTAAGTATACCTAATGTACTCAAAATCTTCCTTCCAACTCCAAATACACCTCTGGCTATTGTTCCACTGCGGGCAAAAATCTGGATGCAACTCCTGCTAATGCGCCAAATAAACCCATTTCTTATGGGTTAAAAAATGACGAATCCAAACAAGGACCCCTATGTTTCTAAGGCAACAAAAAAAGCACTCATGATAAAAATCTTTAGTTCAACACCAAATGCTTGGTTTATGGATATCTTGGAAAACATTCCGAGGTATAGAGAAGATGGACCTCCATACTGGCTAATATTTGTCGGTCAAAACACAAGATACTGTGAAGCCATACCATTATGGTCCAAAAATATTTTAGATGTGAAAACTGCTTTGACAATATTCGTTGACAAATACCATCCAACAAAACTGACATCTGACTGTGAAAGTTCTTTCAAATCAGATGATGTAAAAAACTATCTGCGTTCAAAAAATGTAAACCAAATTTCATTGTCGACCAAAACCATTCTGCTCTTGGTGTCATTGACGGTTGTATAAAAATGTTAGAGACTTAAACCAACCACAAGGTGGTGAAGCAAATGAAATGTCATATGACGACAAATATAGACACTTCTCCATGGCAAAGATGAGACAAGTTTTAAATATTTACAATAACCGTAAACAAAAAGGTTTGGGAAACCACTCCCCCGAAGAAATGAAAAACAACCCTGACTTAGAGAAAGACTATATATTTAATAATTTAGTCAAAAGGGATAACAAGAAAGAATGCGGGCTTCAAACTTCAGAAAGGTGACAAAGTAAAAATAGAAATACCTAAACGCGACCCATATGAAAATACTATTGACTATGACAACAATGGGAACCCGACAGGTACTCACATTCGTGTTCGTAAAAATAGAAGAAAGTATACAAGAGAATATTATGAAGTTTTAGGCAAACATGGCAAAATGTACACACTGCAAGCAGAAGATAAAACGACAATTGTCAGACCTCGTTTCAAACTTGTCAAAGTTCAAGGTGGTATACTTTCAAAAACAGTTCCTAACAAATATAAGACAACTCCTGACGAATATGCTAAAGAAGTTGAAAATGACGACTAAGCATTTCTATACCATGCGTAAACTGTCATGTAAGGTGGCATGTATTCTTTACTTTGTCCCGTTGTTTGCGTATATCCTGAAACGCGATGTGTATGGTTTCCATCTCCCTGAGTGTTACCCCAGAAACAATTTATAGCAAACTGAACGTTGTCTTTAACATCATATCCTTTACCTTTTTTCATTGCTGACCAATCCCAAAATTATGCTTATGCCAACCTGCTTGAGATGTACTTAAATCTATGTAGTGACTATGTGCAGGTAAATTTTCACCTGAAATCGTTTTACTTCCACCTGTTTCCTTTGAAGAGTTTGCACAATACAAAAACCTGTCGACTATTTGAGTCCAAGTTCCAAAACCCAGAACTGTTTCTGGTCTGGTAGAGTTCATTGACGTATAAATAGAGCCTATAGGATATAATGTTTGAAGCATTTCTGTCTTTAATGTTTGAAGCTCTGTTTTGTCTGCTTTCTTGTCATATAAATCTTGAGCAGTGAATTTAATATTATGTTCATCCTTCATGACATAAACATCTTTACATCTAATGTTTCTCATCGTCGTTATGTCGTCATCCGATGTTAAACCTTGTGGAAAGTTAGGAGGTTTACAATATATTGCATCCCCACCAGTTTCTTCAACCGTTCCTTCAATACTTTCTATAGCAACAGTTGTAAAACTTGTATGTGTATGGTTCTTATTTGCTTTCTTTTCAAGGCTAACGTTTAAGTCTGTTATTTCAGAAGATGTATGTGTATGTCCAACGGCACTTTTACTGTTTAAGGTTTCTTGTAAGTTTGTAATATCAGATATAGAATGTGTATGAGTCTTTTTAGAATATTCGTTTTCAGCTCTTGTCACTTCACTTGACATTTTATTGTCAACATATGTTTTGTCTGCTAGTTCAGGATGAGTATGTTCTTTTGTTGCATAAGCATTGTTAGCTCTTTCTTCTTCTTTTGCTATTGCATCGTCTACATATTCTTTGTCAGCTTTGTTGTCAACATCTGCTTTCAAAAGAAGTTCATTTATAGGTTTCTCGTTTAAAGTTCCTTTTGTTGGATTTATACAGACAGTATTGTTCTTCTTGTCTTGAAACAGAAACTCATCTGTCATTGGGTTTAATGTCAGTTTTAAGTTTCCTTCTTTCAATGACTCAGATATCTTAGAATAGTTTGAAAAGTTTGTTGTGTTCTTATTTAGAGCTTGCATAATGAGTTGTCGGTTGTGTTGTATTTCTCTCATAGACGCTGTTTCATTTGACATTTTTATTCTAGATAAAATATGCTTCCAATAGAAAAAGAAAATTCAAGAGTTGCTACAACTAAACCATTAGATGAACTTTTTACTAATGTCGGTCAAAAGTTTGAGACAGAGACCGTAAAGCATGAAGGCTATCGTTTTGACTACCATTAAGATGGCTAAGAGACCCATCTGTCACAAAAGCTATTGGCTTTCGTAGAATGAAGTCCATTTCAGAAGCCATACATGGTTTCCCATTTACGGTCGGTTTTGGAGTTCGATACTATAACAAAGAAAAACGTATGTATGAGAAATTTAACAGGGAAAACTTTTACAAGTTAGTTTGCTTGTAAACTTAGAAACAACTCTTCAAGCTTTTCAAGAAAAATAAACGATATCTATCTCGAATATGCAAAACAGTATAACATTGACGAAGGAGAGTACCATCTCGATATTATTTATGACAGGAAAAATGCAACTGTTAAAATCAATAGAATAGAAGACCTTGGAGAAAACGTTTATATTTCTACAAAATATAACAACTTGGCATGGCATAGATTTTTGAGGATGTTAAATCAGCCTGCAGCATATCCAGTACACCCAGACTTTTATGAAGTCGAAAACCCTAATGGAACATATGAAAATGTTTTCGACCAAGATGCTATTATTGTTCATGCTTCATTTTCTGGCGCCCAAAACTCTTTCTTATGCTTGGCAAATGACTTTTACGAAAACCTACAAAGTTATACGAACCACCAAGTGGAAGTATTTCAGACTTTCAAGTATGGTTTACTACAGATGGAAGAAAAAGAATAATTCCATTATACCATGCGTTTTACTTAGAACTTAGTTTCATATACAACTACTATCGAACGGTAAAAATATAATTTTTTAATACGGTTGAGGTGTTGGATTTGGTTGCCAACTAGACTGTGGTGCAGGTTCAGGCTGTTGTATAACAGGAGCTTGCTCTTCTGGTTCAGGGTCTTTAGGTAAATACCAACGAACTGACCTACTCTTTTACCAATATTTTTGACTCCGTTCCAAATTCCTCTTCCTACGGTTTTTTATTCCATTCCATATACCTCTTCCAACTCTTCTGAAGAAGTTTCCAATACTACTGAAGAAACCCATTTACTATATGTAAAAATCTAATGTCCGCCTAGTCTCTTACGTTTCCTGTTGAGTTCCATAGCATTCTTTAACTGGAGCTCATACATTCTGTTTCTCCTCTGGTAGAAAACATATTCTGGGTCAACTCCTGTGTTCGCGTCATCTGCATAAAGTTGTTTATATCCCACCTCAGGGTTTGTATAAAACTCTTTCCATCTCATATTTGCATACCATGGTGGCAAACCTAACGCAGCGTCATTTGACATTGCAGTTTGCATTTGTACATCTGTTGGCACTTGACCATAGTTTGCCATTGCAGTTTGTATTCTAACTTCATTTGGAATATTCTCTGGGTTTGGTTGTCCAGGTTGCTGTGCATTCGCTAAGTTCTGTGCGTCCATTTAATATTAGATAAAAATATCTCTTACGAGTACATATACTGAACATTTGCAGGCATTGGTTCATCTTCATATTCTCTGTACTTTTCTGCCACGTCAAATAAATAAATGACACAATGGAAAAAACCTAAAACAAGTAGTCCGATTTCAAACCACATTTACTTACTAATAAAATTTCTTTGTTATGACACTTTCTCCAGTTTATAGGTCCTCTCTCATATTCTATCTTGTCATATCTAAACTCATAGTCATGTATGTCCTCTAACCATCTCATAACGGTTTCCAAACCACTTTTATCGGATGTAAAGTAAAAGCATGGATGGTTATGTAAAACGTCTAAAGTTTCTAAAGAGTCTCTCAAAGTCCAGTCTACTTGGTATTGAAAATCCCATGTGTTATAGAACGGCGGGTCCACTATAAAGAAAACATTTTCCTTGTCTTTATATTTTTCATACAAATCTGTCCAATGACATCTCACAAACTCTATACCCTCAATATATTTTTCTATGTCCTCTTTGAAAACATTTGTATAGTTAAGATATAAAACTTTTGACATAAGTGTTTCAATGTCATGAACTCTTATAGAACCACTATATAATAGTCTAGCAGATATACTATCCCAGTCTATATATTCTGCTTTTTTCAAAACCTCTCTCACAATATTTTTGTTATCTAATGGTATACGTTCCATCTTACCTATAGGTATCTTTTCTTTTAACTCTTTCAATATATTGTTTGTGTCTGGAATATGTTTGAGACGGTCCATATAGTTGTCGAAGTCATTGCATATAATCTTTGAGTCTGGGAATATTATATGACACAAATGGGATATATAGAAACTTCCACCGAACAAATCTACAAATGTTAGACCATTCGGTAGTTTCTTAAGTTCTCTCAATATAATATCTTTACATCTACTCTTATTTCCAAAGAACGGTAACGGTGGTTTTGTAAAATTCATTTATATATAATAATAAAAATGTTTTTCCCTGAAAAGTGACAGAAAAGTGACAAAACATGAAAACATATATAATTTGTGAAAAGCGACACATTATATAATGTTTTCGACTCAGAAGAAGGCTTCTTCCCAGAAGCAATGGAGGAAGAAGAAGAGTCCTCCGAATATAAACTTCATTTATTAATAAACATCATCAGGGCTAGAAGGCACGAAGTGCCTGGAAGCCCCACTACTTTTTTTTTATTTTTCCAATTAAAATTCAAAAAGGACACCATTCGGAATCGTCCAAAAATGAAATCGAGAAAGGGATAGACTAGCCCATTGTCACTTTTTAATTTAGCAAATGAACGCTTATGGAGTGGAGTTTTTGGGTAAATCTGATTTGCTTATAAATGAAATAAAATCAAAAGAAACCATATTGGCATTATATTATGCAAAAATAAATGATCTTACTTAGTACTTTTAAAGTTAATTTCAGAAAAAATTTGACACAATGGTATCCGGCACATACAAGTGGTGTACAACCAAAATATAAGTTGGTTTAAACATATATTGCTATATCTCATGATCTTACTTAGTACTTTTAAAGTTAATTTCAGAAAAAATTTGACACAATGGTATCCGGCACATACAAGTGGTGTACAACCAAAATATAAGTTGGTTTAAACATATATTGCTATATCTCATGATCTTACTTAGTACTTTTAAAGTTAATTTCAGAAAAAATTTGACACAACGGTATCCGGCACATACAAGTGGTGTACAACCAAAATATAAGTTGGTTTAAACATATATTGCTATATCTCATGATCTTACTTAGTACTTTTAAAGTTAATTTCAGAAAAAATTTGACACAATGGTATCCGGCACATACAAGTGGTGTACAACCAAAATTTCATATCCCTAGTTTTACATTTATGTTTAGTTTTATTTCACCTAATTTTCAAAGATCATAATTGAATTAGATGGCCAAGCTATTCAAAACACGACCAAACTTATCAAAATAAGACCAATATATTCAAAATTCTTTATTCTTTCAAATCATTTCATTTTAATGCAGATCCAAGATCACGAACTCACATATATCGAGTTGCTTAAGTATGGAGTGCAACAAGAAATCCACGCAGGTTGTAGTTATTCATATAAAACTAGGAAAGAAAGAAATCAAATCCAATTTAATTGTAAGTGGCCGAATTGTCCATGTCGCTTCCTTGTTGATACACTTCCCGATGACAAGTACCACATACGAAAATGTATTAACACCCACAATCATTCTGCCCCTTTTCCAAACAAATCACAACAAATTACATCATATTTTTCTAGATCTTATTTAACAAGATATTTTGAATCAAATCAAAACCGTGTTTACGCACAATTAAGGTGTTTCAAAGATCTTAATATCCCATTTGATAGTGGGATCATTCCGGAAATGTTTCAACAATCTACAGATGCTTTAAAAAAGTTTTCTAAACGCCTTCATGCAATCAATACCCGTTTCTCAGCGGATGATGTTACATCTCTTGCAATTTTTGTCGACATGGTTAAGAGTCATTCTCCAGATGATCTCATCGAGTTTATTCACGAGCCAGATCGTATGATTTTCTATTACGCCCCATTCGAAGCAAATGCTTTTTCACATCAAATACAAACTTATCACATTGATTCCACTTATAAGCTCTTGCGCTCTCGCATACCATTTTATGCCGTCACTGGCAAATTCGCGGAATCAATTGTTTTCCGTTTTTGTATTTTTTCGTTTGGCCCGACACAAGTGAAAATATACAAGTTTGTCTCACAGCATATTTTGGCTCCATCAATCGCGAACCATCTTATTTTTCAATGGACTGCGCACCTCAAATCACAAATGCTGTTGAAACAGCCATCCCCTTATGCCAGATCATTTGGTGTGGCGTTCATGTGTTGCGCGCTGTCATGAGAAAGGCTGAAAAGTTTCAAGATCGTTCCAACTTCGAAACTTTCTATAACTTAATGAAGTTATTGGTCTTTGGTTCTGAAGAGGAAGAAATTGATCCTGATGAAGTTTACAACAATTTAGAAGAAATTTTAAATGAGGAACCTGCTGCCCATGAATACTTTGACCGACAGTGGCGCCATCATCTTGACAGGTGGATGCTTCGCTATATAAATGAAGGAGATGGAACAAACAACATCTCCGAATCACATTTCAAGGTTTTGAAGCACCAGTACTTCCCAGAAAGGCGAAATCTTCGACTCGATGAACTTGTCATCGAGTTATATTCCAGTGTTGTTCCTTCATTCCTGATTAAGTTGCAAATTAAAGGTCTGGATTCAGAGAGAAGTGTTAAAGTTATCAAAAAAGTCACAAGAGATTTCGAAGAAATGACACAATTTAAAAAAGTCGAATGCATCAGTATGCTTGAAGCTGTTCAGAAAGGTCTGAAAAATGATACACTTGATCCCAACATTGTTTACTCAACATTAAAAATATTATTGCAAAGAAAACATTTGATTTAATAAACATTTAATTTATTATAATTAATTTTTTATTACAGTATAGTAAAAAATGCTATAAATAAATTATTATATTTTATTAAAATGTGACTTTTAATAGTAAGTGAATAAAATAAATCAGGAATTGGGAAAGAAATAAGGTTAATTAAAAATAATGAAAATTACAAGTTTAAGGTTAATGAAAAAGTGACAATGGGCGAGTTTGTCCCCCACTCAAATGAAATCTTGGAGGTTTGCCAAAATTGAATCCGCCAGTATTTATCGACCAAAATTATAATAAAAATAATTTTCGCAAAGTACTCTATCCAAATCATTCTTCAAAAAAATATTTTTTTGGTTCTTTTGTATAAAAAACGTTACACAAAACGCTTAGAAAATTTAAAATTTTTTCGAAAAAAATCTTTTTTTCATTAATGTGCTAGCTTTTTGAAAAATAATCATATCGGTAGATAGGGGATAATATAGAGGTGCTTTATGAATAACTAAAATTCGGGAAAACTTGATATTCAACGAGAAAAACGCTTAACGAATCTCACATTTCTTGTAAACTTCACAAAAAATTGAGAACCTTATCTGGTCGTAAGCCTCCCTTAAGTCGGATAATTAGGACAACCATCCATAATGATGGATTTTAAAAGAGGTAAACACAGCACCTCCTTGCTTGTCATTAAAAATTGTACAATTGCTCAATGAATGTAAAAATTCGATATTTTTTCCCCGTTTTAAAGTTTTGTATTTACACTCAATTTTCTTAGTGTTGTATTCTACAGCATTTACAATATATTGAACATTATTTAATAAATTTAAATATTCATTTGCAAATGCTGTAGAAAAATGTAGAAAAATCTATTGGAGTCTACTAGGATGAAGTTTTATTAGAATATGATAAAGGAACAACTAAAGTTTTAACGAATTTTGAATATTCATCGAGTAATGTGATATTTTCTTTTTTATTAATTTTATTTTCATAATTATTAACTATAGGAATTAGAGCTTCACATTTAGATGTAGATAAATGAGATAAATTTAAATATTTTTCTTCTGTTTTGATATTATCCATAGTAATATCATCTGGAATAGATGGAGTACTCTGAACATAACAATTTTAACTGTAAATGATGATCCACCTTTGTAAAAAAGTTTAAATCTTGATGGACCTTCATTTCCAAATATAGAACAGTTTTCAATTGTTATAATTCCATCACAACGAATTATTCCATAAGATGTTGTACTCACTTTGTTTTTCAAAATGTTGCAAAAGGAAACAAAATATGTTTTATAATTATTATGAGCTAATACTTGATCATAAGGTTTGCATGTTGTATTTTCAATTGTACAAAATGAAACTGATGCTGAATTATAAAGTGCATAACCTGAGCCAGCACTTGCTATGCATTGACTGATATTCGATGATCGAATAGAAATGTTTCCATTCCATACAGCTATTGTACATATTAGTTTTTCGTTTCCACAAAGACAAATTGATGAATCATAGACAAAATTTAGTTTGGTTGAATCTTTACAATTTGTATAGGAGTGGTGGCCTCCTTTCCAATCACCTGCAGTTGTTTGTGAAGATAACGAACAAATTCTGTATTGTACAAAAGAACTTTTGCAGCTAAAATAAACACTTCCACCACTACTTGTACTAGTGTTGTTATTAAAGTTGCATTCCGAATGTAATACTTTGATGTTGTCAGATGAATATTTGATTGCACCAGTTTTGAAGTCAAAGAAGAAACTGAGTAAGACAAAACACTCTTGATTGTTGATAGGTACTGAGCAATTGATGCATGTGATTGGATTTGACTGATTTTCTGTTTGGTAAAAATAAGTCCAAGAATCAAATGGAACAACATACCTTTAGATTTTATCTCAAAATTTTGTAAACTATTCAACTTTGGTATTTTTTTTAGTTTGTAAAGTTTGTAAAGTGTCGAATTTCGATATATTTGACATTGTAAAGTCTGCTTTAGTGAATTACAAACTTTGCTGAGAAATAAGATGCAATATAGACTCAATCCAGCTCTGGAAGATATTTGGAACTTTATATTAGAAAAATAGAGTTCAAAATATTTAGCAGAGCTGGATTGAGCCCATATTAAATTTATTAAAGCCCCTTCCGAAAAGAAGAGGCTTTAGTGAATCGAGAGTGAGAGGCTCCATCACTCCTGATCTTGACGAAAGGGAGTTCTGGAGCTCCTGGAAAGCAGAAGGTTGCTTTGATCAAAAAGAGCCAAGTCCTCTTTAATGAACAATGTCAAAAAAAAAGAGATTTATTTTTATTCAAGCACCGAAGATTTGACTATTAACTTCACCAACTTCGGAGATTGGTTGAGAACCATACAAATACTGGATCTGGACCTTCATCTGTAGTTTAGAATTTCCTGTGTTGTTGAGCATAATGTTCTGAACAATTGGATTTCCGCCGACTGGGTCAAGTTTGTTTCCGCTTGGCTGTGCTGCCTGCAATTGCCAGCCAATAGGTACACCGTACTTCACAGCGAAGTTAGACAGTGTCTGATTTCCTAATCCGAAAATAGAAGCTCTAATAGCGAGCTGCTTTGGATTCTGCGGGTTTGCTCTGAGTTCGAAATAGATAACATAGTCTGTCTTCCTCAATGCCTCAACTGCTCCTGGATTTGGCTTTGGTGCAGGCTTTGCTTGTACTTGTGGAGCAGGATTTTGAGAGGTTTGGTTCACCAGGGAAGTAGAAGTATTCAAATTTTGAGAAGGTTTGTTTGGCTGTGATGGAGCCATTCCAAGTAATTGGTCGATTGGATTTGCAGCAGCTGGAGCTGATTGTTTTGGCTGTGATGTTCCTGTGATATCGATAAGTAAGTCTTCATCCTTATCCGCACCAGTCTGCGAGTCAACAATGATTGCAGCACCTTCTTCTGCAACAGTTTCGACTGGAGCTAATACTTCATCGCATAAATCTTCGTTTCCAAGTAAAAGTGACATTTCTCCTGCGCGTTGTTGGACATCCGAGTTTGTAGAATTGCTCAATGTCTGTAAGAAATCGATTGTCTCTTGTTTCTTATTGAATCTGACTGAGAGTTTTGAGAGAGCTGTAATAATATAACCTTTTGTCTGGTCTGTTGTCTGAGGAAGGCCCATAATCTGCTTCAAGTTCTCGTAGCTGCCATCGTCTGTTGTAGAAAACTCGCCGATAACCCAAGCTGATACTTGAATCAAAGTTTGGTTGTCGGAGAAGTTCATTAGAGAGCCACCGAGCTGGCGAACAGCATGTGGTTGTAATGACGGTGTATGTATAAGCAAACGACCGATGGAAGTGATGATATCTGCTCCAACGTAATTTCCGCTATCAATAAGAATGCGGTGGATTGTATCGAAGTTCCATATCGGGTTAGGCGCGAATCTCTGAACGGCTGTGAAAATTTTTGCGACCAATTCTGCTCTGAATTCTGAATCTGCGAGTTTTACGTAGTCCAAGACCTCTGGGATGAGAGTTTCCACGTTCTTCTCGTCGACAAGTGCGGAAACAACGTCCAAAGCTCTGCGGCGGATGGATGGATCGCGGTGATTCAAGCATTGGACAACTTGTGTCTTGTAACGTTGTAAAGCGATTGAATCTCCTGATGTACGATCGATAATTTCACGGCCTTGGTAAAGAACGCGAGAGAAAACTGAAAGAGCGGAATATAAAACGTTTGCCTCCTTAAATTGGAAGAGACGGCCAATCTGTGCGAAGGCCAGACCTCTAAGCGATGGTTTCTTGGCTGTAGCAACGATAGTTTCGACAGCTTGGTAAAGTAATGCTCGTCCTGTGTTTCTCTTGAGTTCTACACCGGTAGCGATTGCTTCTAATGTATCATCCAAGTCATCGCTTGGCTTCTTGAGGATTGCGAGGACTTTCATTATACGAATTTGTAAAAATGGATCATTGAAAACTGTAAATGAGAATTCGCGGCTTGCTTTCGAGCTATTAAGCTGCTTTAAAATCTTTGTAAATGCTGGAGCATATTTCTCCCATCCTGGAATGAAAGATGGGTCTGTTAAGATGATATGAGACATAAGATTGATAGCTGAAATGACGACACCATGGGATCCGTGCTTAAGGAGGTGTTGGACTGATTGCTTGAAGTTTTCGGCAAGCTCAGGAACGCGTTCGACGATTCTACAAGCAGCCATTGCAGCACGCTTCATAACGGCTGGCTCTGGTGAATCGATAAGCTTCTGTACTTCTGTTGTAACTGATCTGCACATTTCTGCAGAGCCGATATTTGCAAGTAATGTAAGAGCAAGGCATTGTATGCGAAAATCTGGAGATTGAAGATCTTTTGTGATTGTGTGTGTAATTAATACTGTCAATTCTGAAGCCTCATCAAGCATTGTTGCTGCAGCGATATATCCAATTCTTTTATAACTGAAAACGTCGTTGCTCATTAATGTGAGTACTTCCATTTGACCGTATGCAACTGTCTCACCTAATGTAGCAAGGAATATCATTTTAGAAACGATTCTTGGCCTGAGGATTGGATCACATTCGCGAATATAATTTCTAATATCAGCTTGTTCGCTATTAATTAAAAATCTCTCGTGCTCGATACTATCTGCAAGCCTTACAGATGCTATAAATTCCGCGAGAGGTTGAGTCATCTATATATTGCTATTTTTGCGGTTTTTTGGCTTCAAATTTTCTACATGTCTGTCTAGATTTTTATCCAAATATCTTACCATTGTTTTCTGTGCCGATAAGGATGAAAATAGTATATGTTGTTACAACGCACATGAATTATAAAAAAAAAAAAAAAAAAAAAAAAAAAAAAAAAAAAAAAAAAAGGGAGTGGGGCTTCCAGGCACTTCGTGCCTTCTAGCCCTGATGTTGATGTTTAGTATAAATGAAGTTTTTATTCGGAGGACTCTTCTTCTTCCTCCATTGCTTCTGGGAAGAAGCCTTCTTCTGGGTCGAAAACATTATATAATGTGTCGCTTTTCACAAATTATATATGTTTTCATGTTTTGTCACTTTTCTGTCACTTTTCAGGGAAAAACATTTTTATTATTATATATAAATGAATTTTACAAAACCACCGTTACCGTTCTTTGGAAATAAGAGTAGATGTAAAGATATTATATTGAGAGAACTTAAGAAACTACCGAATGGTCTAACATTTGTAGATTTGTTCGGTGGAAGTTTCTATATATCCCATTTGTGCCATATAATATTTCCAGACTCAAAGATTATATGCAATGACTTCGACAACTATATGGACCGTCTCAAACATATACCAGATACAAACAATATATTGAAAGAGTTAAAAGAAAAGATACCTATAGGTAAGATGGAACGTATACCATTAGATAAGAAAAATATTGTGAGAGAGGTTTTGAAAAAAGCAGAATATATAGACTGGGATAGTATATCTGCTAGACTATTATATAGTGGTGCTATAAGAGTTCATGACATTGAAACACTTATGTCAAAAGTTTTATATCTTAACTATACAAATGTTTTCAAAGAGGACATAGAAAAATATATTGAGGGTATAGAGTTTGTGAGATGTCATTGGACAGAGTTGTATGAAAAATATAAAAACAAGGAAAATGTTTTCTTTATAGTGGACCCGCCGTTCTTTAACACATGGGATTTTCAATACCAAGTAGACTGGACTTTGAGAGACTCTTTAGAAACTTTAGACGTTTTACATAACCATCCATGCTTTTACTTTACATCCGATAAAAGTGGTTTGGAAACCGTTATGAGATGGTTAGAGGACATACATGACTATGAGTTTATATATGACAAGATAGAATATGAGAGAGGTCCTATAAACTGGAGAAAGTGTCACAATAAAGAAATTTTATTAGTAAGTAAATGTGGTTTGAAATAGGACTACTTGTTTTAGGTTTTTTCCATTGTGTCATTTATTTCTTTGACGTGGCAGAAAGTACAGAGAATATGAAGATGAACCAATGCCTGCAAATGTCCAGTATATGTACTCGTAAGAGATATTTTTATCTAATATTAAATGGACGCACAGAACTTAGCGAATGCGCAGCAACCTGGACAACCAAACCCAGAGAATATTCCAAATGAAGTTAGAATACAAACTGCAATGGCAAACTATGGTCAAGTGCCAACAGATGTACAAATGCAAACTGCCATGTCAAATGACGCTGCGTTAGGTTTGCCACCATGGTATGCAAATATGAGATGGAAAGAGTTTTATACAAACCCTGAGGTGGGATATAAACAACTTTATGCAGATGACGCGAACACAGGAGTTGACCCAGAATATGTTTTCTACCAGAGGAGAAACAGAATGTATGATCTCCAGTTAAAGAATGCTATGGAACTCAACAGGAAACGTAAGAGACTAGGCGGACATTAGATTTTTACATATAGTAAAATGGGTTTCTTCAGTAAGATAGGAAACTTCTTTCGAAATGTTGGAAGAGGTATATGGAATGGAATAAAAACCGTAGGAAGAGGAATTTGGAACGGTGTCAAAAATATTGGTAAAAGAGTAGGTCAGTTCGTTGGTATTATACCTAAAGACCCTGAACCAGAAGAACAAGCTCCTGTTATACAACAGCCTGAACCTGCACCACAGTCTAGTTGGCAACCAAATCCAACACCTCAACCGTATTAAAAATTATATTTTTACCGTTCGATAGTAGTTGTATATGAAACTAAGTTCTAAGTAAAACGCATGGTATAATGGAATTATTCTCTTTCTTCCATCTGTTGTAAACCATACTTGAAAGTCTGAAATACTTCCACTTGGTGGTTCATATAGCTTTGTAGGTTTTTCGTAAAAGTCATTTGCCAAGCATAAAAAAGAGTTTTGGGCGCCAGAAAATGAAGCATGAACTATAATAGCATCTGAGTCGAAAACATCTTTAAATAAATATGGTTCATCTCTTGCATATCGACTGTAAATATTTGCTAAAGGAAGTTCGACTTTCTGATTTAACATTCTTTGCAAATAATACCATGACATTGCAGTGAATTCTGTATATATTTGTTCGTCTTTCTTTGGATTGTCTTCGTAGATTTGAAATGACACTTGTGAATTTTGTTTGTCATATACAATTCTCACATAAAGTGTGCTCTCGGTATTTGCATATTCATCAGCATATTTTGCATAACATGAATTTATTTTATCTTCTATATTTTTTAACGCAGTCTGTAGAGAAGATGAAAGGTCAACTTGTATTAGCTCAATTTCTTCCCACATTTTTCGTTTCCCTTCAGATATATAATCTATATGAAACCTTACAATAAATGGAAAACTTTTATCTTCTACAGACACAAACTTCATTCTACGAAAGCCAATAGCTTTTGTGACAGATGGGTCTCTTAGCCATCTTAATGGGTAGTCAAAACGATAGCCTTCATGCTTTACGGTCTCTGTCTCAAACTTTTGACCGACATTAGTAAAAAGTTCATCTAATGGTTTAGTTGTAGCAACTCTTGAATTTTCTTTTTCTATTGGAAGCATATTTTATCTAGAATAAAAATGTCAAATGAAACAGCGTCTATGAGAGAAATACAACACAACCGACAACTCATTATGCAAGCTCTAAATAAGAACACAACAAACTTTTCAAACTATTCTAAGATATCTGAGTCATTGAAAGAAGGAAACCTAAAACTGACATTAAACCCAATGACAGATGAGTTTCTGTTTCAAGACAAGAAGAACAATACTGTCTGTATAAATCCAACAAAAGGAACTTTAAACGAGAAACCTATAAATGAACTTCTTTTGAAAACAGATGTTGACAACAAAGCTGACAAAGAATATGTAGACGATGCAATAGCAAAAGAAGAAGAAAGAGCTAACAATGCTTATGCAACAAAAGAACATACTCATCCTGAACTAGCAGACAAAACATATGTTGACAATAAAATGTCAAGTGAAGTGACAAGAGCTGAAAACGAATATTCTAAAAAGACTCATACACATTCTATATCTGAAATAACAGACTTAAACGTTAGCCTTGAAAAGAAAGCAGATAAGGAATATGTGGCTAGTAAGTTAGAGAAGAAAGCGGATAAGGAATATGTGGATGAAAAGATAACGAAATGAAAGAAAGGGTTGACTGGTACCATGAATGGACATCGAAGACTTTTAAAGTTAAAGCGATACAGGATGGGTTTCAGGATGTTTAGACTTAAAGCAGATAAAACTTATGTTAACGATGAGTTAGAGAAGAAAGCAGACAAGAACCATACACATACAAGTTTTACAACTGTTGCTATAGAAAGTATTGAAGGAACGGTTGAAGAAACTGGTGGGGATGCAATATATGTAAACCTCCTAACTTTCACAAGGTTTAACATCGGATGACGACATAACGACGATGAGAAACATTAGATGTAAAGATGTTTATGTCATGAAGGATGAACATAATATTAAATTCACTGCTCAAGATTTATATGACAAGAAAGCAGACAAAACAGAGCTTCAAACATTAAAGACAGAAATACTTCAAACATTATATCCTATAGGCTCTATTTATACGTCAATGAACTCTACAGACCAGAAAAGTTCTGGTTTTGGAACTTGGACTCAAATAGTCGACAGGTTTTTGTATTGTGCAAACTCTTCAAAGGAAACAGGTGGAAGTAAAACGATTTCAGGTGAAAATTTACCTGCACACAGTCACTACATAGATTTAAGTACATCTCAAGCAGGTTGGCATAAGCATAAATTTTGGGATTGGTCAGCAATGAAAAAGGTAAAGGATATGATGTTAAAGACGACGTTCAGTTTGCTATAAATTGTTTCTGGGGTACACTCAGGGAGATGGAAACCATACACATCGCGTTTCGGATATACGCAAACAACGGGACAAAGTAAAGACTACATGCCACCTTACATGACAGTTTACGCATGGTATAGAAATGCTTAGTCGTCATTTTCAACTTCTTTAGCATATTCGTCAGGAGTTGTCTTATATTTGTTAGGAACTGTCTTTGAAAGTATACCACCTTGAACTTTGACAAGTTTGAAACGAGGTCTGACAATAGTAGTTTTATCTTCTGCTTGCAGTCTGTACATTTTGCCATGTTTGCCTAAAACTTCATAATATTCTCTTGTATACTTTCTTCTATTTTTACGAACACGAATGTGAGTACCTGTCGAGTTCCCATTGTTGTCATAGTCAATAGTATTTTCATATGGGTCGCGTTTAGGTATTTCTATTTTTACTTTGTCACCTTTCTTAAGTTTGAAGCCGGCATTCTTTCTTGTTTGTCTCTTTTGACTAAATATTAAATATATAGTCTTTCTCTAAGTCAGGGTTGTTTTTCATTTCTTCGGGGGAGTGGTTTCCCAAACCTTTTTGTTTACGGCTATTGTAAATATTTAAAACTTGTCTCATCTTTGCCATGGAGAAGTGTCTATATTTGTCGTCATATGACATTTCATTTGCTTCACCACCTTGTGGTTGGTTTAAGTCTCTTAACATTTTTATACAACCGTCAATGACACCAAGAGCAGAATGGTTTTGGTCGACAATGAAATATTGGTTTACATTTTTTGAACGCAGATAGTTTTTAATATCATCTGATTTGAAAGAACTTTCACAGTCAGATGTCAGTTTTGTTGGATGGTATTTGTCAACGAATATTGTCAAAGCAGTTT